GAGAGGAGAGGAGAGGAGAGGAGAGGAGAGGAGAGGAGAGGAGAGGAATAAGAAGAGTGGAGTGGAGTGGAGTGGAGTGGAGAGGAAGGGAGGGTAGGGTAGGATAGGGTAGGGTAGAGTAGGATAGGATAGGACAGGACAGGACAGGACAGGACAGGACAGGACATGAATAATAGAATAGGCTAGACTAGGCCAGGCCAGGCCAGAGTAGAACAAAATAGAACATAACACTTTATGTGGTCAAGTGTGATTAGACACACAAGAAATTTGTCTCTGGTGCAGAAGCTCTCAGTATACATGCAAAACAACGGAGTAATAATAATCATAACAATGATACCGACAAGAAGGGATAGTAGAGAAGATGAGAAGGACAGTAATAATATAAGCATCATTTCACAGGCAACAAACCCATCTTGCTACCTTGGTGCTCTGCTGCTAGAAGAAGAACCGCTGCTACTGCTTCTCAGCCGTTTTCGGTACCGTAACCGCGGCCTTCGCCTCTTCTGACACTGAACAGCTGACTTGTACTCGGAAATGATGGTTTTGATGTGGTTTTCGAATAAGGCAGAGAGTCGGAGTGTCATGCTATAGATCTGTAGAAGGAAGGAAGGAACATCTGCATTCAAGAGTGATGTGGAGCAGAAAGTTTGCCAACCTTACATTGGTTTGCTTTTATCCATGTTCCAGTAGAAGCTAATTCCTCAAGTATATCCATGGATTTAATAATAATAAAAAAAAAAACAACAGCTGGACAGAAGTGTTTTCAGTAGGGTGAAAAAGCTTAATAATGTGCAACCAAACAAGAAAGGAATCTTTTAGCTAGAATGCCTGATATTGACAATGTATTTTTCAGATTTATTACAAGTAATCCTCGATTTACAACCACAATTAGGACCAAACTTTATGTCGTAGAGCAGACTAACAGAGTTGTTGGAAGGGCCCTTGTAGGTCATCTAGTCCAACCCCCCGCCCAAGCAGAAGACCCTACACCATTTCTGACAAATGGCAGTCCAGTCTCTTCTAGAAAGCTTCCATTGATGAAGCTCCCACAACTTCCGAAGGCAACTTCTGTTCCATGGGTTGATTGCTCTCACTGTCAGAAAATTTCTCATTTCTAGCTTGAATTTCTCCTGGATCACTTTCCATCCTTTATTCCTTGTCTGGCCTTCGGGTGCTTTGGAAAATAGCTTGACCCTCTCCTTTCTGTGGCAGCCCCTCAAATATTGGAAGACTGCTATCCTGTCTCCCCTGGTCCTTCTCGTCACTAGACTAGCCATGTCCAGTTCCTGCAACCGTTTATCGTATGTTTTAGCCTCCAGTCCCCTAATCATCTTGGTTGCTCTCCTCTGTACTCTTTCTAGAGTCTCAACATCTTTTTTATAGTGTGGTGACCAAAATTGGATGCAGTATTCCAGGTGTGGTCTTACTAAGGTTTAATTTTATCATGCATGTTCAGCTTCATTTTGTCAGAAACTGGCTGGGAAGGTTAGAAATCACAATCACCTGACTGCAGGATGCTGTAACTGGTCATAAACTGTATCTAAATCTAAGTGCTATTGCTATTGTATAATAGTTATTAGCAAACAAGTCTTTGCCAAGAGGGCATCCCTGATGAGGTAAATAACAGAATTAAGAGGATTAGTAAAAAAAAAAAAAACTCTACCTGGAATGAAGGAAACTAGCAATTGTTTTCAGGTAAGCTCTGAATTTTAAAACATGACACTATTTAAAATCCGCAGGGTTGTGGTTTTTTTTTTTAATATGCATCTTAATGTCAGACCTGGAAGCCATATTTCTATCTTTGTTCCTTCAGGCTTCAGGCCTGCCACAAATCCTACTGTGGGAAATGGGGAGGGGGGACTGCATAGACGGAAGAAGATATGTAGTCACAATGAAATTCTTTATAGAAAGTCAAGGCCATTGTGCCCTGCAGCTGTGCTGAGAGGAATGAGGACGTATCTTCTGTTCCGGACCGGTGTCTGATTAATTCATGTGATGGACATGTGGGTGAGGGGCAAGGTCTTGAACTTCCTTTTGGGTGAGGAAAACCTGGAAGCTCTCAGATTCGGGTTTTCCCAGATGTGCCAATATAGAATAGAATTTTTTATTGGTCAAGTGTGATTGGACACACAAGGAATCTGTCTTGGCATACGCTCTCAGTGTACATAAAATAAAAGATATGTTCATCAAGAATGATAAGGTACAACACTTAATGACAGTCATAAGGTACAAATAAGCAATCAGGAAACAATATCAATATAAATCGTAAGGATATAAGCAACAAAATTACAGTCATACAGTCATAAGTGGAAGGAGATGAGTGGTGGGAACGATGAGAAGATTAATAGTAGTGCAGACTTAGTAAATAGTTTGACAGTGTTGAGGGAATTATTTGTTTAGCAGAATGATGGCATTCGGGAAAAACTGTCCTTGTGTCTAGTTGTCCTGGTGTGCAATGCTTTATAGCGTCGTTTTAAGGATAGAAGTTGAAACAATTTATGTCCAGGATGTGAGGGGTCTGTATGACATCTCTAATAAAAGTTAGCTTTGAGGAACTTCAAGCCTCGGAATTTGATTTCGTTGGGGGCGTTACTTGGAACGCTGACACAGGAGACGAATAGAATAGCTATTGGTTACATTTTTCCCATCTTACCCTTGATTTCTTATTTGGAGTGTACGCTTTGGAGTTGTAGAATATCAAGCGGACGTCTTTGTAGAATTCCAGAGGGTTCATATAATTACCCGCTTCCAAAGTTTCTTTCACAGTGCTGAAGTCCATGGGAGTGTCCACGATATCTCGATAGTCCTGAGAAGAATGTTTGTCCACCTATGAAAACTTCAAAATCTAACAAAGCGATCTGAGGGACAGGCTGATTAACCCAATAGCAATGCATTCACCCGGTCTGACTAAGGAGAGACCCCGCCCCCCACATTTTTCATCCCGGATGTTAAAGGAAGGATATTAAAACTTCCTTTCCCAAAGTCTCATGGAACATTCTTACTCCAAAATATACTTCTTCTTTGGGTTTTTATTTTGGGGGGGGGGGTATTAAAGTTTTTTTATTTTTAAAACATACATCAATATCATCAATATCCTTGCATGGACAGTGTGGTGTCTGAGTGTCATTCATTTTGATACAAAACCAATATTAATACAAGTAAAAAGTACTACGTTGGTCAAACTTACATGGTCTAATTTTATTATACATATTTATATCAGCACATATTCCTTCATTTTTCAATTATTCAATATTAGCTGCATCCTTTTAATAGTCATAACATTATTCTTGAGCATATCTGATAAGATCCTTTTTCAAAATCTAATCTTAACCTCTAACATTCACTTTAAATATTTTTGTTATGCAAAAATATGCATAACAATATTCCCCCCGTTTCTAATTTCTTAATCTATTCTAATTCTCAGTACAGCCAATCTTGTGGTTTTTTTTAAAAGATCCTTTCTATCCATCATCTCTCACCCTCTTGGAAGTTTCACTTCTCTTTTTAACTTGCCTCCCATACGCCTCCCTTGGGTCTTCATCTACATCCGTGATGGCAAACCTGTGGCACGCGTAGCCATATCGGTGGGCATGCAAGCTCAGCTCCGCTGATTTTCAGACCTTCTGGGCCCACCAGAAGTAAGGAAACAGGCTGTTTCCTGCCTCCGGAGGACCTCGGGGGTTCATTTTTCTCTCTCCCCAGCCTCCAGAGCCTTTCTAGGAGTCTGGGGAAGGCAAAAATGGCCTTCACCACCCCTTCGGAGGCCCTCCAGAGGCTGGAAATGGCCCATTTGCCAATTTCCAGTAGAACCGGAAGTCTCATTTTTTGCTGTCTCCAGCCTTTCTAGGAGTCTGGGGAGGGCGTAAACAGCCTTCCCCACGCCCCCGGAGGCCCTCTGGAGGCCAGAAACAGGCCATTTTTGGCCTCTGAGGGGGGTAGAGAAGGCTGTTTTCGCCCTCCCCAGACTCCTAGAAAGGCTCTAGAGGCTGGGGACGGCAAAAAACGGGCCAACCGTGCCATCGTGTGGGGGGAGGGGGGGGGCAAAAAGAATGCGATGGCAAAAAGGTTAGCCATCACTGATCTACATCCTTTGTTTTCAACCCAACTGTTACTTCCATCTCCACTATTTTTTGCTGCCAATCAACCCACGGGTCTGTCAAATCCTCTGTCTTTTTTCCAAAAATATTTTTCAATTTATTGAATCCAAAATATACTTTGAGCCCAAGAATCATAGTGTGTGCCAGATGCTTTTTCCACCCTGTGTTAGTTGCTGGAAAGGCCAAACTCTGGGTGGAAAGAGCCTCGGAGACAAGATGGCACCTTCTCAGGCAGTTTTTTTACCTGTCCTCCCAAATTCAGAAAAAAAGCAAAACTTACAGGGTAAGAAAAGAGATCAACGGGTTGTCGGAATGGCTCAGAGTCTTCACGTTCATAGATCAGGCTTAACAATTGCTTGCAGTGGTTTTTCCAGGAATCAACACATCCTTTAGAAGGTTGCCTTTTCATTTGCCGTTTGACCTTAAGATTTTTTTTTTTTAAAAAAACAGAACATATAAATTGAATAATCTCTAAAATGTTTGTTTTCATCTCATTTAACATAGGCACCAGGTACCCAGAATCACAGTAGAACAAATGAGTTGGGTTTTTTTGAAAGAAAGAGATATGCCCATAAGATAGCTAACCTTTAATCGAGTTTTTTACAGGGAAAAAACAAACAAACAAACTAGTTAGAACATCTCAAGTTGGTTTCTATTCTTCATAAGTTACCTCTATGCAATTCTATTTATATTAGTTGAAATCCTGAAGCTTTTATTATGGCCAAAGACCGGGGTTTAACAATACATTATGAGAGGGTATAGAAGTATTAAACTATAATAGCAAAGAAAAGAAGAATTGGGGTGACATGATAACACTATTCCAGTATTTGAGGAGCTGTCACAAAGAAGAGTGGGTCGAATTATTTTCCAAAGCACCAGAGGGCAGGACAAGAAACTGTGGTTGGAAACTAATCAAAGAGAGAAGCAACCTGGAATTAAGGAGAAACTTCCTAACAGTGAGGACAATTAACCAGTGGAACAGCTTGCCTCCAGAAATAATGGGCACTCCATCACTGGAGGTTTTTAAGAAGAGACTAGACAGTCACTTGTCTGAAATGGTATAAGTTCTCCTGCTTGAGCAGGGGGCTGGACTGGAAGACCTCCAAGATCCCTTCCTACTCTACTCTACTCTACTCTACTCTACTCTACTCTACTCTACTCTACTCTACTCTACTCTACTCTACTCTACTCTACTCTACTCTACTCTACTCTACTCTACTCTACTCTATTCTATTCTGCATTCACCAGATTAAGGCTCTTCACTCAATATCTGTTCATAAATTTAGTATCATATCCCAGGCAAGCTGAGTTGTCGCAGTTGGGCACAAAATTCCCTCTTCTACACTCAATAATACTAACCCCTAAGATTTCCTTTGCTATTGGACTGACAAGCAATAAAATTGATCTTCCAATCAGCTAAATATTGGCTGACAAGCCATGTTCTGACGTTATATTATTCATCAGGGCAAGGAGGAAGATTTACTCTGGACAGGAAACAAGAACTTTTTTTTAAGAATAGAATAGAATAGAATAGAATAGAGCTGGAAGGGACCTTGGAGGTCTTCTAGTCCAACCCCCTGCTTAGGCAGGAAACCCTACACTACTTCAGATAAATGGTTATCCAACCTCGTCTTAAAAACTTCCAGTGTTGGAGCATTCCCAATTTCTGGAGGCAAGTTGTTCCACTGATTAATTGTTCTCACTATCAGGAAATTTCTCCTTAGTTCTAGATGTTGCTTCTCTCCTTGATTAGTTTCCACCCATTGCTTCTTCTCCTGCCCTCAGGTGCTTTGGAGAATAGCTTGACTCCCTCTTCTTTGTGGCAGCCCCTGAGATATTGGAACACTGCTATCAGGTCTCCCCTAGTCCTTCTTTTCATCAGACTAGACATACCCAGTTCCTGCAACCGTTCTTCTAGCCTCCAGTCTGTCATGCCTGGAAGCCATATTACCTGTGTGCCTTGAGGATCCAGGCCCGCCACAATCATACCGTGGGAAGTTGGCAGGGGGGATTACATGAGTGAAGTAGAGATAGCCATAACAAACTTCTCTCATGCAATCCTTGATTGCTCTTCTCTTTTTAACCTGGTTTCTTCCTCCACCTTTTTCTTGGTGCTCAATTCTGAATGCTGCTTCTACTTCTGCAATGGCCGGGGAATATGAATGCATTTGTTCATGAGAACTGGACTTTGACTTTTTTTTTTTTAATGGAAGAGAAAGCAGCTTGGGTTTTCTAACTTCAGAAGCATTACATCACACAAAGAGAAATCAAGGGCCATCTGATGGCCACGTATCAATCAAAGTATTTTTGGAGAAAATTAAGTGCACAGCTAGGCTTGCAAGATAACTCAGTTACTTACTATTCGTTTTCCAGAGGAAGTTCCTGGGCCCTCTGAATCAGGAGATGCTTCTGCCACCTACAGCAAAATGTGATTACTACATGCGAGAGAACAAATTAATTCAAAATACACGCACGCATGTACACACCCTCCTGAAAATTATGGCCTTGGGGCAAGATCTTAACATTTGGCGAGATCACATGGGCTTTTTGAGGGGTAAGACAAGATGCTAGTTCTGCAGTTTTCTTGGCCAGGTTTTTCAGAAGTGGTTTGACACTGCCTCCTTCCTAGAACCCTAACTTTTGAGGTCGTCCCCCCCAAATTCACTTCCTGTTCAAACCAATCCCCAAAAGAACCATTTCTTTTTACCTGCTCTTCTTCCTCTGTGCTACTCAAGTCTTCTGCTTTCACTTTGTTGTAGATCTCCAGAATATCTGTACAACTCTGATCCCTAAAGAGTAGGAAGAGGATCAGCATGAGGGCTAAATAGAGATTTAAAAAAACAACAACAAAATAAAATCCCCTCCCCAAAGGTTATTACGGTCGTTGATTCCTAGAGCAAAGATTGCATTAAATGTTCATGGATCGCCTAGTAGAGTTTCATCAACACCAAAGTTTCATCAACATCAAATACGACCTCATAGATGACCCTCACTCTGTCTAGGACCTAGGAGTACTCATCTCAAATGATCTAAGCCCCAGAGCTCACTGTAACAGCATTGCCAAAAGGGCATTAAGAGTTGTTAACCTAATTTTGCAAAGCTTCTTCTCCGGTAACACTGTACTGCTAACTAGGGCATACCAAACTTTTGCCAAACCAGTTCTCGAATACAGCTCGTCTGCCTGGAATCCACACTGCATATCAGACATTAACACAATTGAACGAGTCCAGAGGTATTTCACGAGAAGAGTACTCCACTCCTCTGCTCACAATAGAATACCTTATGCCACCAGATTTGACATTTTGGGCTTGGACAACCTGGAACTATGCCGTCTACGGTCTGACCTAAGCACAGTACACAAAATTGTCTGCTACAATGTCCTACCTGTCAACAACTACCGTATTTTTCAGAGTATAAGACGCTCCAGACTATAAGACGCACCTACCTTTTTTGGTGAGGAAAACAAGAAAAAGAAATCTGTCTCTGCCTCCCAGCAATTTTGCCTCATTGCAGCAAACAGCCTGCTTTACTTTCATTTTCGTTTTCAGCATAGCTTGATTAGCACAAGAAAAACAAATCTGCTCCCAGCAATTTACCTCCTTGCAGTAAGCAGCAGAGGCCCGCAAAGCAATAGGCAATGGCAATCCCTGCAGCCTGAAACAGCTGAGGGTCGGGAGGCCGATCCAACGGACAATCAACTTGTGCTAATTAGGCTGTGCTGAAGCTGAAATGGGCTGTTTCTTCTTGCTGCTTGCTGCAAGGAGGTAAATTGCTGGGAGGCAGAGGCCAAAGGGTGGGGGCCAGTGGGTGGGCGGGGCTACATTTGGTGTATAAGATACACTCACATTTTCATCCCCTTTTAGGGGAGAAAAAGGTGCGTCTTATACTCCGAAAAAATGGTACTTCAGCTTCAACCACAACAATACACGGGCAAACAATAGATACAAACTCTAGGCAAACTGCTTCAAACTCGACTGCAGAAAATACAACTTCAGCAACAGAGTGGTGAATGCCTGGAATGCTCTATCCGACTCTGTTGTTACTTCCTCAAACCCCCATAGCTTCAACCTTAAACTGTCTACTGTAAACCTCACCCCATTCCTAAGAGGTCTGTAACGGGGCACGCATAAGCGCACCAGCGTGCCTACCGTCCCTGTTCTACTGTCCCCATGTATTTGTACTCATTTCATGTGCTCTTGTCCATGTTTATACTTATACCTGTTATCTCGTACATGTTTGACAAACTAAATAAAATAAAAATAAAATAAAATAAAATAAATTCATCAACAGACAAGCACACAAATTGAGACAGGGGAGGAAAAGATCCCATCCAGGCAAGTTTTCAGAAAAGTATTTCCTTCAACCGCAGGACCGCTTACCCAATGTAGTGCAGTAAAACATCTGTGACGATTTTGGCTGCTTTGACAATAGGGCTTTCGGGCTCATTGAAAGTCCTTGCGTTATGTTCGATGTATCGTACCTCCCACATTAATGCTGATATTCTCCTGAAAAAGGAGAGAAGACAAAGACACTTGTCAGAGTGTTTGCAGCATGACTACTATTTTGAGACAGCCCAGGAGTAAAATACAAGAAACATAGGTTTGTCTTACAAACAGTGGTTTATATACAAGACTTCTATATATAGACATACAAGGCACATACCAATCTATCTTCAACTCTACATGGAGAATTACAATGCAGATAGAACACAATGAGGAGAGTGATACACGAGGAGAGAGAGCTACGCCCTCTCATGGCCTCCCTTATATCAACACTCTTCTGGATTATCTAGGCCAGGGGTCTGCAACCTTAAACACTCAAAGAGCCATTTGGACTCGTTTCCCCCAGAAAAGAAAACACCGGGAGCCACAAAACCCTTCCCGTGCCTGACTATTTCTTGAGCAGCCACAAACTAGCATATGTAGTTGAACTGAACGTTCTGTTTTCTTCTGAAACTTTTCTTTTCTTGGATTTATCCATGGTTGAAAAGCTCAATAAATCACGTCAGCGGGTATCGCACACTGGCCGTTGTGACACATATTTTGAGTGACAGGGAGCCGCAGCAGAGGGGTGAAAGAGCCACATGCAGCTCCAGAGCCGCAGGTTGCTGATCCCTGATCTAGGCAACTGAAAAGGGTTGGACAAGATACACTGTACATGGGTTCTGCATAAGGTTTTTAAGAGCAATTCCATTTTTTAAGAAAGTTTTAATAAGAACAACTATGTGTTATGGAGATAAGAAAGCATTCTAGTCCAAAATGCCATCACACAGAACCCTGGGCATCATTCCTTTCAAGAAAACCCTGAACCTCAGGATGGCATGCCAAAGTTGACTGTTAATCATTGACTGAAGTTATTCACTGTTGTTAAGTTAATTAAAATAGTTTTGTTTTAAATCTGCTTTGGTGGACTGCAAAACCTATTTATAAATACAGAAAACACCTAGCTACCGAAGGTCACACGTCCCAAATTCAGACTTGAAAAATTAAAAAAAACCTTTGTGTTTGCTAGCAAATTAGTCAGTCCCATCAGAAGAACTATGGTTCCCTTATTTTTTTTAAAAAAAAATCACTAGAAGTTGCAGCAGAAGAAATTTAGCACAAAACCAAACAATGATAAACTCTTTTATATATTAGCGACCATTAATCCAACCTGTAAAATCTGTTTTCAAGTCTTCTCCTTATTGTGGTGAGGTCAGTTGGATAAGCAACAACAGTGCAATACAGAGGATAGGCACTAAGGTCGACTGGAACTGCAAAGGGATTAGAAATCTCTGCAAAAAAATAAATAAATAAAAAATAAAGCAAAGGTGAACTGAATAAAACTTTTAAGAAAGGTGGTAGAAGCATTATGTATTTAGGGGGAAAACCTCTCTGATAATTAAGGTGAAGTTTGACTTTATATAAATATTACTCTAAGCCCTAAAACCAGGTGTGCCCCCAAGATATTCTCCTAATTGAAATGTTGACAAGTAAAAATCAGATTTCTTCTGTTCGTGTTATGATATTTCAGGCAGCCCTGCAGGCATGGAAAGTCGATTGTTTTTTTTAAGTTTTGAAAGATTATTCCAAGGAATTACAAACAGGAATAACAGATGCCTCTTTAATGTACTGCAATTGATAAGAGTCATTTGTTTTCTTTTTTTCTTTCCTTTCTTCTTTTTCTTTTCTTTCTTTCATTCTTTCTCTCTCTCTTTCTTCTTTCTCTCTTTCTTTTTCTTTCTTTCATTCTCTATCTTACTTTTTCATTCTTTCTTTTTCTTTCATTCTTTCCCTCTTTCTTTCCTTTCTTTTTTCTTTCATTCTTTTTTTCTTTTCTTTCATTCTTTCTTTCTCTTTTTCTCTTTCTTCCCTTTCTTTCTTTCTTTTTCTTTCTTTCATTCTTTCTCTTTCTTTCTTTCTTTCTTTCTTTCTTTCTTTCTTTCTTTCTTTCTTTCTTTCTTTCTCTCTCTCTCTCTCTCTCTCTCTTTCTCCTTCCTTCCTCCCTCCCTCCCTCCCTCCCTCCTTTCCTTCCTTCAATTTATATGCCACACATCCCATTTCCCAAACTGACTCTGGATAGCTTAACAATTAAGAATTAACAATTCTGCTCATTCTAGCCCCAACAGAGGCAATAGGGGAAATCCAGACCTGGTGATGTTGCCCTACCTAGAGAAAGAAGCTGATCGATGCCTTGGAGAACCCGCACGCATTCTTCGTCTCGGGAATGGGAGCCCCATTCTCCTTCCTGGGGCTTGTATAGCAGAGAGGCCAATTCCTCGCTGGTCACTGGAACTCCAGCCCCCACCTCATCTGGATAAGCAGCTGCAGAGAGAAGGAGGGAGGGGGAGAGAGTGAGTGACTTGGATGTATCAGGTTAATTCATCGTGGTAATGATATATCGTGATGAAGTGCCTAAAACAACGCTATCCATCTTTCATTTAAGGCAATCTCTGCAAAACGCACCCCAAAACAAAATTAAAAAGTTGATACTTTTGACTTTCTCCTGTATTATTCAAATATATCCTGTAGAGTAATTGTTCTGGCAGGTCTGAAAGGGCTTTAATTTTAATTTTACTATGCTGCTTTAAAAAAAAAAAAAAAACTGTGTAAACTGAAGGTAGCCCATGCAGTCAAGTTAAACATTATTGTTATTTTAATTTGTATTACTTTATTTCTGTATTACTTTAAGTTACTTAAAACTGGTCAATGAAATGAAGTCGTTTCAGTCCAATTCAAATTGAATTCTTTTTTATGTACAGTAAAGGCTTGTAAAAACTGACTCCGATTTGATCTATAATGCTGCTGTAATATTTTGCCATTATAAAAAAATAATCTCTATCAAAAGGAAGGAGGTAGGAAACAAGCACTATTTACTTCCTTCTGGAATTGGTTCCATGTCCCAGGGGCTCATGTTTTCTCTTTCGTTGTTGTCCCAGCTGTAAAATAATAACAATAACAACAACAGTAAAACATCTCAGAAATACCTTAGTCAAGTTAAAAAATGCACTGCAAGGCTATGGGCGAGGAAACTTGGCGAGATCCGGTTCATTTTTTTTTTTTTTATCAGTTTGTCCTCCCTATCCCCATCCCACTAAATTTGTTCCCATTTTGTCTATTCTGCCAGTAAAATCCTAACCCAGTATACATAAATTTATTTCCAACTTTCCACTGGGTGGCAGAGACTAAAACGAAACATAAAAAAATCAGCTTTTCATGGCAATTGAGCAGAAATCTTGTAATTCTAAGAAACGGGATGAAAATATTTTCAAACCAGCAGATTATCAATGCTTGTGATTACTTAATTTATGTACAAAAACTTGTTTTTTTCTGGGGTTTGAGGGGGGGGGTTTGCATTAAAATTCCAACACTTAGATTCGTCCTTACTGAACACTGTAGCACTGGAAGGAACTGTCTGGATATTCCGCTTGGAATGGCTGTTGACTCTCCACGGTTCCAAACCACCACGCATCATCAATTATACTACGAAATCTATCCCCTGCAATAAGAGAGGCAGAGAGAACGAAGTTAATACCTGCAGGGGCTTGTAAAACAAAGTTGGAAGGGACCTTGTAAGGCCTTATAGTCCAACCCCATTCAAGCATTCCATGCCAATGATGGAGCCCCCACAACTTTTGAAGGCAACCCATTATCCAGAATTCATGTTTTTTTGGGTATCAACCTTTTGAATGGCAGCAGGGATTTTAGAATGATTTGGTTCTGGAACCATTGTTCTCACCCAAGTGATTGCAGAATATACATATACACAAGAACAGTTTTTTCCCGGAACGCCATCACTCTGCTAAACAAATAATTCCCTCAACACTGTCAAACTAGTTACTAAGTCTGCATTACTATTAATCTTCTCATTGTTCCTATCACCCATCTCCTTCCACTTATGACTGTAACCTTGTTGCTGGTATCCTTAGGATTTTTCCCTATGACTGTCATTAAGTGTTGTACCTTATGATTCTTGATGAACATATCTTTTCTTTTATGTACACTGAGAGCCTATGCACCAAGACAAATTCCTTGTATGTCCAATCACACTTGGCCAATAAAGTATTCTATTCTATTCTATTCTATTCTATTCTATTCTATTCTATTCTATTCTATTCTATTCTATTCTATTCTATTCTATTCCTATTTCTTCTATTATTTCTATTCTATTCTATTCTATTCTATTCTATTCTATTCTATTCTATTCTATTCTATTCTATTCTAATCTAATCTAATCTAATTCTATTCTACATAACATTGCAGTATCATATTAAACCGGGAAAAGCTTGAAGGTAAACAGGCAAACATACCGATCTGCCAGTTTCTTTCTTTGGCTTCATTGTAAAATTGATGCAACACAAGGAAGTCAATGACATCAGGCATGTCATGGTACCTGGGAAACAAAAACGAAACGATTCAGCGAAGGAGAAGATGGAGGTGGTTGCGATGATGATGATGATGATGATGATGATGATAATGATAATAATAATAAAAAAATAAAGAAGAAGAAGAAGAAGAAGAAGAAGAAGAAGAAGATGATGATGATGATGATGATGATGATGATGATGTGGGACTTCCGAATCCAGACTGACAAAGTTTTAGAACACAATATCCAGGATATCACAATTGTCGAGAAGAAAAAAGTGTGGATCCTCGACATTGCCATACCTGGTGACAGCAGAATCGAAGAGAAACAACTTGAAAAAAGTCACCAGATATCAGGACTTGAGAATAGAACTGCAGAGACTCTGGCATAAACCAGTGCAGGTGGTCCCAGTGGTACTCGGCACACTGGGTGCTGTGCCTAAAGACCTAGGCAAGCACTTAAGAACAATTGGCGTTGAGAAGATCACCATTGGTCAGCTGCAGAAAGCCACCTTACTAGGATCTGCTCACATAATCCACCGATACATCACGCAGTCCTAAACGCTTGGGAAGTGTTCAACTAGTGATTTGTGATACGAAACCCAGCATGGTTATCTCATTTGCTGTGTATACTGTCATTTTTGTGTAAATAATAACAACAACAACAACAACAACAACAACAACAACAACAACAATAATAATAATAATAATAGACCACCTGATCAGTGGGTGCAGCAAAATTTCACAAACTGACTACCTACAGCGCCATGACCGTGTTGCTAAAATCATTCACTGGAAATTGTGCCAGAAGTTTGGATTTGAGTACAGCAAAAACCACTGGGAACATCAGGTTGAGAAAGTTTTAGAGAATGAGAAACTCAAGATCTTGTGGGACTTTAGGATTCAGACTGACAGGCACTTGGTCCACAACACACCTGACATAACAATAGTTGAAAAGAAAAAAGTATGGTTCATTGATGTTGCAATACCTGGTGATGCACGGATTGAAGATAAGCAGCAAGAAAAAATCACAAAGTACCGGGACTTACAAATTGAAGTTGAGCGACTGTGGAAAAAGAAATCATGTGTTGTCCCGATTGTAATTGGAGCCCTTGGTGCAATACCCAAGGGTTTTTGGCGCTCTCCCTGGTCTCGCCTCCTCCACTAGAGACAATGGATCCCCCAGCCCCGCCTGGGCCACCACAAGCACCCCCGACATGAGTGAAGTCGAGCTGGCCATGCCCACCCCGGCCACACACACCCGGCCCCCCGAGGTCAAACACAACCCTGATGCGGCCCTCAATGAAATCAAATTTGACACCCCTGGGTTAAGGCATCAGGTGAGAAACTAGGGGACCGTGAGTTCTAGTTCCACCTTAAGTATGGTCGAAGGTTGCTGTGCATAGTTGGTGAGTAGAAGAAAAAAAATGAGACCTCCATTACGCGCTTTTGGGAAGAATGAAAAGCACATGTAGAGTCTCCCAAAATACCTAATTTAATTAAAATACTGCGGCTGAGACAGCCAGTTTGGTGTACTGGTTCAGACACCAGGCTAAAAACTGGGAGATCTAATCTTGCCACAGGTACAAAACCAGTTGGGTGACATTGGGCCAGGAAGGCTGAAAGAAAACCAGTCCAGGAAATTGCCAGGAACTAAAAAATTTGAGTGCACCATCAAAAAAAGAACAATAAAAAGTAGCCGTCGCTTAGGGACTGTCTCCTTCAGCAACCGTTCACAGTTACGACGGTGATGAAAAAGTAACCTGGACTAATCCTTGCATTTACGACCTTCACAGATCTGTAAAGCAGAGGAAGTAAGAGCAAGGAGGTAAGTGCTTAGGGAGAAAGATCACTTAGCAATGATTTTTGCTTAAGGACTTGGTTGCCAGTCTCAATTGTGGTTGTTAAATGATAAAAATAATTTAAATATGTATAGTGGCCAATGACTCTGAGTGGTTCGTAACGATCCAGAGACATTACAATGGAATTGTTAAAAGATGGCAAGTGCAATGAAGTGAGGGGTGTCACCAGGGGTGAAATTCAAAAATTTTCCCTACCGGTTCTGTGGGCGTGGCTTGGTGGGCGTGGCTTGGTGGAGGTCATGTGACTGGGTGGGTGCAGCCAACTTTTTTTAAAAACTTTTTTTTAGCATTTTTTAACTAAAAAAAAGTTGAAAGAAAGTTTGGACAATCAGCTGTGACAATCAGCTGTGCCCGTGATCCACGGAACCTTTTTTTTTTTTTACTTTTTTAAAGCATTTTTTTACTACCAGTTCAGGCGAATGCTACTGGCCTGAACTGGTAGCATTTCACCCCTGGGTCTCACCCTCCCATCCTAAAATCCTGGGTGAAGATCCAGGTCTTCATAGCTTAGGAAAAGCATAATACTTTTGAATTTATTTGCAAGGATATCAACATGACAGAATGATTGTTAATACTCCCCCACCTGCAACTTTTTGGGAATCCCTGGCAAAAAAAACATGATTGGAAGAAGAATGGGAGGGGAGGAAAGTCAAAAGCTCAAAAGCATCACCATGAAGTTTAACTAGAGCTTTAGCGAGCCACTCACTTTATGGAAAACGATTCCCCTGTCATTTTGCCCGAGATGGGGTCAAGAAAGGCAAGCTTCAAGCAGCACAGCGTAGGTGGTCCAACTTCGTACTTAATTCCCACAATCTTCACAAATTCTTGTTCCTGTTTGTCAAAGATCAGAAAAGGTCAACAGTTTAGGGTTGCTTCCTGTTTTGAATTTTAAAGCACACCTGGGCAAAGAGCATTTAAACGGACCGCGCTTTTGTTAAATGAGCATCTAAGATAGAAATGTCTTCATACTCCGATTCTAGCAATACCAGGAATGAAACATGGATGCCATCCCTGAATCCTTAGAATCAGAGTCAAATCAGGATAAGGTTATATATATACTGAGCCACTGTACCAGGGGTGAAATCCTACCAGTTCGGGCGAACCTCTAGGGATTACTGGCATCAGTTTGCCAAACTGGTAGTAATCATCCCTCATTGGCCCCACTCATGCCCGGCCACCTCTTCCGGCCGCTCGATATTCCACAGAATTCAATGTTAAATGCAGCAGAGAGACTGCTAACTTTTCTCCCTCCATTCAGAATGGAGCTGCTGCAGCCTGTCCCTTTAAGGTAGTCCCCAGGAGGGAGGGGGCCGGGAGGGAACCATAAATGGAGGAGCAGCTCCGTTCTGAATGGAGGGAGAAAAGTTAGCATTCTCTCTGCCATAGAATTCAATGTTAAATGCAGCAGAGAGAATGCTAACTTTTCTCTCTCCATTCAAAACGGAGCTGCTGCAGCCTGTGCCTTTAAGATAGTCCCCAGGAGGGAGGGGGACAGGGGGAGCAGCTGGAATGGAGCCGTTTTCGTGAAAGGCAGGAAAATGGGGAAGGGGATTTTCCTGCCTGTCATCCATTCCTCAATCTCAGCACAGACTGAGGGAAGGATGGTAGGCAGGAATATTCCCTTCCCCATTTTCCTGCCATTCGCAACAAAGAGTGGATGGGAGGGGAGGGGCCGGTGAGGAGCCCCTCGATGTGACTGATGTCGAGTTGGCCATGCCCACCCAGTCACATGACACCCCCCCAAACAAGCCACACCCACAGAACCGGTAGGGGAAATTTTTTAATTTCACCACTGCACTGTACTGTTCCTTTGCTGGGGGCTTAATAAACAAGGGAAATTCCCACCCCCACCCTCAATCACAGCTTACGGTTTTAAGCGGAGTCCTTTATTGTTTCACACTTATAGACAGAATCTTGCCAGTTCTTTATTGTGTGAAACAATACAAATTTTTGGTTTGGAAGAATTGCCTTGGTTTTGGACCCAACACACACACAGTGGCCTATTTTCCTTATATCATGATATACATAACTGGACTCAGGATTTATTATTTATATTTATTATATTTATTACCAGGGATGAGCTGCTGGGGGTTCGCAGGGGTTCAGGAGAATCTCTAGCTAAGATTCTGTGCAGTTCGGAGAACCCCCAAATCCCACTCCTGGCTGGCCCCGCCCACCCTGCCCCTCCCCTCCCAGGAGTCCTCACGCGGCCCATTTTGGATGCAGGTAAGTGCAGAGCGCACAGGAAGGCTCGGGGAGGGTGAAAAAGGGGCCTATTGGAAGTTCAGGAAGGTTGGAAACAGGCCCGTTTCTGGCCTCCAGAGGGCCTCTGGAGCCTGGGGAGGTCGTTTTCGCCCTCCTGGACGCCTCTGGAGCCTGGGGAGGGCAAAAACGCCCTCCCTGCCATGATGTAGGAGGCCGACTAGGCCACGCTCACTATGGCCATGCCCATCCAGCAACCAGACAGAGAACCCCTTGCTAAATTTTTTGAAGCCGACCTGTTTATTAGATATTTATTTATTTATTTATTTATTTATTTATTTATTTATTTATTCATTCATTCATTCATTCATTCATTCATTCATTCATTCATTCATTTATTGGCTAAGATGCACTACAGAAGATAATCAGGCAGATATGTTCACATCCTATCAAACTCCTTCATCAAAGACAGGGCTGTTTTCAAGAGCTCTTTGTGTACAGCCAGTCACCAGGCTCAAATCACAGCATCTCCAGACAGGACTGGGGAAAACCTGGAAACTATTACCCGAAAGCTGCTTCTGAATAGCTGGCTGGGGAATTCGGGGAGTTGAAGTCCACCTATCTTAAAAGTTGCCAAGGTTGAGAAATGCTGGGGTAGACTAATGGTTGGACATGATATATAAAGTACATTATGGCCACAATCAATAACCCACCATAAAATTCTCTCGACTGCTTACCCTGAGTTCCATTTTATTCCATGGCTGCTTTTGTATGTTAACGCTATAAATTTTTGCTTTCCGAATTGCACGCACGTAAGCTTCGTGCCCTTGCCTGAAATAGATTATCTGGAAGGAAGGAAGATGAGAAAACAGGGCTGTTTATACACTGGAAAGCAACTTCCATTAAAATGTTTCAAATACTGAATCCTAAAAATAAACCCTGTTTATTGGTTAAATTACTGCTCATCTTTGGAGCTCTGGAAAGTACATCATTTGCATATTACAAAAGAAAAGGATGCCAGAACTAATATCTGCTAATGAATTGTAACTTCGCATGTTCAAAGTCCATTTGCTTCTTTCATTAAATCATAGGGGTGAAAAAATGAAAGTTTTGCACGATATCCAAATCTGGAGTCATAGTCTGTTGCATAAAGTAGATGGTAAGTTGTGTTTTGATCAGAATTCACAGCTGCCTAAGCAGGTGAGCGGTTTATGTATTCTGAACATGCAAAAGAGCATTGGACTGAGACGGCAGCATAACTGACACTGAATTCTAGTCCTTGGGGAGACTTATGGTTCCACTTGAGACCTCTGCCAGTGTGTCTGTAAGCCAAATCAGAAGATCAACAGGCCTGAAGGGTTTTCCAGTTTTACTTGCAATTCATGAAAAGGACAACGAACTCAGAAGGCCTATTTGGCAGAGTTCTTATAGGAGAAGTCATATTACCAAACTTACTTACTTACTCTTTTTCTTTCTTTCTTTCTTTCTTTCTTTCTCTTTCTTTCTTTCTTTCTTTCTTTCTTTCTTTCTTTCTTTCTTTCTTTCTTTCTTTCTTTCTTTCTTTCTTTCTTTCTTTCTTTCTTTCTTTCTCTTTTTCCTTTTTTCTTTTTCTACCTACCTACCTATCTATCTATCTATCTATCTATCCATCTATCATCTTATCTACCTATCTATCCATCCATCCATTATCCCATCCATCCATCCATCCAACCATCCATCCATCTATCTAACAAATTTATATAGCTGCCCAACTCACACATAGGTGACTCTGGGCAGCTTACAAAATGTAAAAAATAATAATAATTAAAAGCTCAACATATAATAAAAAACTTCTGCGAAATTCCAGCCTTGTAATAAACTCCTCCCCACCCACCCAAAAATACTTAAAATACTTTTCGTATAAATAGTTTATTCCAAATAGCATTCTTTGTCTTGACATAATTATTACGATACTTTGAATCTACTGTAGTCATTCCCCAAGGTAAGAGTCCGACATGAAATGAGATCGTGCCAGCATGTCTGAAAAGATTTATCCCTTCAGTTTTATTATGGATGGCTAAAATTATTTCTGTGAACTTTATCGGACGGTAATCAATCAATCAATTTTTATTATGCTCACAGATCATCACTATAAATAAAAGTGTTGAAAATAATAAAAATAAATAAAAGACAAAATAAAGTAGTGGTGGGTTATCAGTGGGTGGTTAAGAGCCTGCCCAATTTTGCATATGGCATGGCCACATTCAAAGAAACTACTTCATGTTGACCTGATAAAAGTAAGGTAAAGGTTCCCCTCGCACATATGTGCCAGTTGTTCCCGACTCTAGGGGGCGGTGCTCATCTCCGTTTCAAAGCCGAAGAGCCAGCGCTGTCCGAAGACGTCTCCGTGGTCATGTGGCCAGCATGACTAAACGCCAAAGGCGCACAGAACACTGTTACCTTCTCACCAAAGGTGGTCCCTGTTTTTCTACTTGCATTTTTTACGTGCTTTCGAACTGTTAGGTTGGCAGAAGCTGGGACAAGTAACGGGAGCTCACCCTGTTACATGGCACTAGGGATTCAAACTGCTGAGCTGCCGACCTTTTGATCGACAAGCTCAGCGTCTAAGCCACTGAGCCACCGCATCCTTTTTGACCTGATAAAAGTAGCTGTACATAAAAGACATCATTTCATGAAAATTTTATTAGATAAGGTGTTATAAATTGAGTCTGTGAGCTCTAATAGAAGATGCAGAATAGTTATTGGAGGTTAAACTGAGCCAAGAATTGAAATCTGTGAGTACCTCGTCTCCCATTTGAGGGACAAAAGGAGAACGCCGTGGGATGGTGTCTAAGATCCAGTGAGGAGCGAACCATTCTTCTGTAGGCTCAGCATCCATTGACAGCAATCCACTGGGTTTCTTAAAAAGGGAAACATTTCTAAGTTTGAATAAAAGCAGAGAGACCGAGTAACTGATGCACAGATCGTAAGGCGGTGGTGAATGACCTTGCCTTAATCAAACACTTCTAGGGGTGTCATTTTTGAAACTTGCTTACCTTTTTCCGAGCCTGTTTGGGTTTCTTGCGCTTCTCCTCCTGTCCTTTTGTCTCTTTGACATGTTCATCCTCAGAGCTGCTGCAGATCTGGTGAGCCGCTTGTCTTGTCTGTCTTTTCGGAGGCTGGAGATTAATCCCAGCGTCGGCCGTCCAGTCGGAATATTCGCTGGACGAATCGCTGAAATGGTCACGTGAAAAAATAAGGAGAAACAACAAGTAGGGTTAAACGCAATTCGAAGGGCTTCAAAGGGAAGTTAGAGCTTGTCGCCTACCTAGAAGTAGTCATATAAAGGGAAATGTTACCCTTCTCAAGTTTATTCCTTTCTAGTTTAATACTAGGTGAATTTTTCTAGTTTACCAGTAATTCTAGTTAAATTGTCATTTGCCACCAAATTCTATTTTTTTTCTCCTTCCGTTCAACTGTGCCAATTCTCAGAGACTGCTTGGACAAGACTCTGAAGTTTTCTTGGCAAGGTTTTTCAAACGTGGCTTGCCATTCCCTCTTCCCTAGATCTGAGATTTAGTGGCTGGCCCAAGGGAACCCAGCTGATTTTGCGCCCAAGGCAGTATTAAAAGTCAGAGGAGAATGTAATTTAAAAAATATTAGATTGTCCAGAAATGGATAGATTAACACTTGCTATTAAGGATAAAAAAGAAACTGAATATTTTTTGATATGGGACACATTTTATCAATGGCTAGATAATAGAAACAGAAGTTAAAAAGGAAGAGATATAAAGGAAGGAAATGGTACCGAGGAGAGTCATTAAAGAAGATGATGTTAAATGTTAAATATTAAAGTTATTATACTATAATGTTATTATATTATTAATATGATGGTGATGACTAAATATAATGAAGATGTATAAATATGACCATCTAAACATAATTGTACCAACAATACACACAGTTTGATGAAAACTGAGTGTTACATAAATAAAACAAATAAAACATGAAGAAAAAAAAAAGAAGTCACAGATAGTTTATCATAGAAAACGCACACTTCTGCTCGATAGTATTCTAAGGCCCAGGAAAGAATGAATGAATGAATGAATGAATGAATGAATGAATGAATGAATGAATGAATGAATGAATGAATGAATGAATGGATGGGTGGATGGATGGATGGATGGATAGATTGACTGATTGATTGATTGATTGATTCTTTCCTGGGCCTTAGAATACTATCGAGCAGAAGTGTGCGTTTTCTATGATGAACTATTCCCCTTTTCATGAAGGGTAGTTAAAATACCTGGAGCTGCTTTCGCTCTGCCAAGCAGCTACGTTGTCATCTCCAGAGCCATCGCTGGTGCCCACGGAATCAACTTCCTGAAATGGAGACAAAAACCCAAACGTTCTTCAAGTCTGTAGAGATTCTCAGTCATCCAGGTCGTGGTTGCCCCAAAGGTGTGTTTTCAGGAGGCAACTGGACTTCCTTGTTGTTGTTAATTTTTGAAGACGTTTCGCTTCTCATCCAAGAAGCTTCTTCAGCTCTGACAGGATAGTGGAGAATGGAAGGATTTATATTCCTTGCAGACAGTTGGTCATTTGCATCCTTTTAGGGGGTCGTTGAAGCACTTGGAGGTTTACCTGTGTCCTCAGGGTTACCTGAGTAGTGCAAATGGTTCCTGTAGTCTAAAGGAATCAGGAGATCCTGAGGACACAGATAAACCTTCAAGTGCTTCAACAACCCTCAAAAAGGGTGCAAATGACCAGCTGTCTGCAAGGAATATAAATCCTTCCATTCCCCACTATCCTGTCAGAGCTGAAGAAGCTACTTGGATGAGAAGCGAAACGTCTTCAAAGAAAAAACAAGGAAGTCCAGTTGCCTTCTGAAAAAGCACCTTTGGGACAAGCATTCTTCATTTCTTTTCTTTTGGGTGAGGTCTTCCTAAGTTAAGCTTACCAATAGAAATAGAAAGCTGTGGTCTTAAGTCAAGGACTACCTGTATAATTGTTGTTGTTGTTGTTTTAAACGAAAGGGAAATAGCAAAAGAACAGAACCTTAGGCAACCACACACTAAAACAGAGGTCTTCAAACTTGGCAGTTTTAAGACTTGTGGACTTCAATTCCCAGAATTCTCCAGCCAGCATAGCATAGCATAGCATAGCATAGCATAGCATAGCATAGCATAGATAGCATAGCATAGCATAGCATAGCATAGCATAGCATAGCATAGCATAGCATAGCATAGCATAGCATAGCATAGCATAGCATAGCATAGCATAGCATAGCATAGCATAGCATAGCATAGCATAGCATAGCATAGCATAGATAGCATAGCATAGCATAGCATAGCATAGCATGCTAGCATAGCATAGCATAGCATAGCATAGGCATAGCATAGCATAGCATAGCATAGCATAGCATAGCATAGCATAGCTGGCTGGAGAATTCTGAGAGTTGAAGTCCACAAGTCTTAAAGCTGCCAAGTTTGAAGACCTCTGCACTAAAGCAAACTAATGAAAAAAGCCCGGATGGTCTCACCTCTGAGGAGCTCTCCGAGTCTTCCTGGGTGTGGGAACTTCTCCTGACACTTTGTGAGTGACGGTCAATGGTGGAACGCGTCTGGTAAGCGTGTTGCCGCCTGCGCTGGTTTCTGCGCAAAGACCGCCCACTACCGGGTTGGTAGTCGCTCTTTTGAGAATAACCAGGAAAAAGAGGAGATAGAAAATTTAAAGCGTTTGCTGCAAGAAAACGTTTTAAGGTGAAGCAAGTTTTTTATGTTCTTGAACGTAGCTATGAATGGCATCGCAAATTCTAGGCACACATGTCTGCCTGCCTGCCTGTTTGTTTCTTGTGCAAACATTAACTGCAACTACAAATTTGGAAACATCTGCTTCAATTTTGTTTGAATTCAGGTAACTCTGTTATTTTAAAATTTTGTTGTTGTTAGTTGCGAAGTCGTGTCTGACCCATCGCGACCCCATGGACGACGTTCCTCCAGGCCTTCCTGTCCTCTACCATCCTCTGGAGTCCATTTAAGCTCACGCCTCCTGCTTCAGTGACTCCATCCAGCCACCTCGTTCTCTGCCATCCCCTACTTCTTTTGCCCTCAATCTTTCCCAGCATTAGGCTCTTCTCCAATGAGTCCTTCCTTCTCATTAGGTGGCCAAAGGATTTGAGTTTCCTCTTCAGGATCTGGCCTTCTAAAGAGCAGTCAGGGTTGATCTCCTCCAGGACTGACCGGTTTGATTGCCTTGCAGTCCAAGGGACTCACAGGAGTCTTCTCCAGCACCAGAGTTCAAAGGCCTCAATTCTTTGGCGCTCAGCCTTCTTATGGTCCAACATTCACAGCCAGACATTGCAACTGGGAAAACCATAGCCTTGACTATATGCACTTTTGTTGGCAGGGTGATGTCTCTGCTTTTTTTATTATTATTATTATTTGATTTATATGCCGCCCTTCTCCAGAGTCTCAGGGTGGCTTACAATGCGCTAAGCAATAGCCTTCATACTTTTGTATATTTATACAAAGTCAGCTTATTGCCCCCACAACTGGGTCCTCAATTTACCTACCTTACAAAGGATGGAAGGCTGAGTCAACCTTGAGCCTTGGCGAGATTCGAACCTGCAGTAATTGCAGGCAGCTGTTCTTAATAACAGGGTGCTTTAGACCACTGTACTACCAAGGCTCTTAGTATGCTGTCTAGATTTGCCATAGCTTTCCTCCCCAGGAGCAAGCGTCTTTTAATTTCTTGGCTGCAGTCCCCATCTGCGGTGATCTTGGAGCCCAGGAAAATAAAATCTGTCACTAGATTTTAGAATTTTAAAAAGCCGAATTGTGTTCAAATACAATGCTTTTTCCATAGGCCTCGCTTCTTTCTACCAATAATTTCCCTAGATCTAAATCTTTCTTTTAACATATTCCACCATCCATCCATATATAAAAGGGCTAAATTTCCAACTAGTTAGTGAAGAGGGTCTGCGCCTGGGGAAAAAAAAATCCCGCTTTTGAAAACATTTCTCACCCTCTGCAAAGTGTGCGATGGCTTCCTCTTCTTTTCAAGGGTATACAGGTGGATTTCCAATTCACCTTTGGCTGCTCGGCATTCTTCCTGAACTCTTTCAGAAGAAAGATCAAATTTGGGTTATTGTCCAAATATTTTCAAAGATCTCCTGTTACTTGGTTCTAAACCTTTTTTTTTTCCTTTTAAGAAAGAAGGATTAGTAATTTTATCTACTGTCCATGGCAGGGGTGAAATCTAAAATTTGTTACTACCAGTTCTGTGGGCGTGGCTTGGTGGGGCGGGGGGGTAATGTGGGCATGGCCTCTTTTTTAAAAAAACTTTTAAAACCATTTTTTCTACAACCTCTTCGGCTAAGAGGTTGTAAAAAATGCTTTCAAAAGGCTCTGACGATCCAAGCTGAGTTCCCTGATCAGGGAACTCAGCTTGGATCGTCAGAGCATTCGTCAGAGCATTTTATTTATTTATTTTATTTATTTATTTTTCATATTTGTATACCGCCCTACTCCCGAAGGACTCAGGGCGGTGAACAGCCATAATAAATACAAATACATATAGAAGTTAAAAACTATTAAGAAACAGATTAAGTAATTTAGGCTCAAAGATTAAAAACATCCAAATTTATCTAAAGAGGTTTAAAACCCAATTTAAAAGCCAGTTTAAAAGCCAATTAAAAATGGAGAGTTAGGCCAGACCTAACCTAACCCAAAAAGGGTTTTTTTCTTTTAAATGCTCTGACGATCTGTCGATCAACTCAGCTGGGATGGTCAGAGCATTTAAAAGAAAAAAACCCTTTTTTTCTTTTAAATGCTCTGACGATCCCAGCTGAGTTCCCTGAAAGCCTCTGTCAATCAGGGAACTCAGCTTGGATCATCAGAGCATTTAAAAGAAAAAAAACCCCTTTTTTCTTTTAAATGCCTTTGACAAGCAGCGCAATCATCAGAGGCTTTGTTTACTTTTAAAAGCATTTTTTTGACCGAAGTTGTCGGAAAAATGCTTTTAAAAGTAAAAAAAAAGCCTCTGATGATTATGCGGCTCAGCTGGGCATGGGGAGGGGCAGGGATTTTTGCTACCAGTTCTCCAAACCACCCGCCTCCATCACTACTGGATCAGGCGATCCGATCCGAACCGGGAGCATTTCACCCCTGGTCCATGGCTGAAGCATTCTACTATGCCCTTAAATCGCCTAGACTTTTGTTTTTCAACCTTTTGGAACTTTTAAGAACTGTGGACTTTGATTCCCAGAATTCTGCAGCTAGCATGCTGGGCTAATTTCACAAGGTGCTAAACAGCCTATAAAAGCAGTCCTCGACTTAGGACCACAATTGGGACCGGAACTTCATGGAAGTGAGGTGGTCGTTAAGTAAGACATCCCATCACTATAGTTTTACAACCTTTTTGGGCACAGTTGTTAAGCAAATCTGGCTTTCCCTCCCGACTTTGCTAGCAAGGAAGATCTTCCCCTGGGAAGATCACAAATGGTGACCATGTGACCCTGGGATGCTGCAATGCAACGGGTTGTAAATACATGCCAGTTGGCAAGCATCCAAATTGTGATCATGTGACCAAAGGGACAGTGTGATGTGATGGTTGTAATTGCAAGAACTGGTTGTCACGTTTTTAAGCACCATCGTAGCTTTGAATGGTCACTAAAACAAATGGGTCATAAATTGAGGACTACCTGCATGGAGAAACCCTAAGCAATCATTTTATGCAAGGCCCAACTTCCTTGACACAACCATTTTTTTTTTACCTGCTAAGTCCAGGAGGCAGCTCGTTTACTACTACTCTCCTACTCCATGCCATTAGATCTCTCTCTGTGGCCATCTGACTTCTTGGAGCATTGTGGTGCATCTGACGGACACCTTCAATCTGACCACTCCGTCTGAGCCCGACATTTGTGGGGGAAGCCATATCCAAGCTTGGGCTCCTCAAAACTACCAAAACAAGCAAAACAAAATCAGAGCAATAACAGAGAATATTTGCAGCTCGGAGCTGAAATGAGGGGTCCTTGTTTCTTTCTGAGCTTGGTGGTTTTCTCGAAGACTACAGATTAACAGAGTTGGAAGGGACCTTGTAGGTCATCTAGTCCAGCCCTTCACCCAAGCAGTGTAGCAGTCACCCTACACCAGTCCAATCTCTTCTTGAAAGCCTCTAGTAATGAAGCTTCCACAACTTCCGAAGGAAACTTCTGTTCCATGGGTTGATTGTTCTCACTAACAGAAAGTTCCTCCTTATTTCTAGGTTGAATCTCTCCTTGTTCAGTTTCCATCCATTATTCCTTGTCTGGCCTTTGGGTGCTTTGGAAAATAGCTTGACCCCCTCCTCTCTCTGGCAGCTCCTCAAGTATTGGAAGATGGCTATCCTGTCTCCCCTGGTCCGTCTCTTCACTAGACTAGCCATGCCCAGTTCCTGCAACCGTTTTTCATGTTTTAGCCTCCAGTCCCCTAATAATCTTGGTTGCTCTTCTCTGTACTTTTTCTAGAGTCTCAACAACTTTTTATAGTGTGGTGTCCAAAACTGGATGCAGGATTCTAGGTGTGGTCTTACTAAGGCTTTATAGAGTGGTATTAGTACCTCACTTCATCTTGATTGTTAATGTAGCTTAGAATTCCATTGGCTTTTTTTGCTGCTGCTGCACACTGTTAGCTCATATTTAACTGGTCATCCACTAAGACTCCAAGATCCCACTCAATATTACTGCTATTAAGCCTCGTTTCACCCAGTCTATATGTGTACTTTTGCTTTTTCTTGCCTAAGTGTAGGACTTTACTTTTCTGTACATTGAATTTAATTTTGTTAGATAGGGCCCAGTGTTCAAGTCTGTCAAGATCCATCTGGATCTTGAGTCAATCTTTCAGACGTTTCATTACCCAACTAGATACCATCAAACTAGGTACCTTAAAGATGCTAAGAATGTAGAAAGAGTGCAGAGAAGAGCAACCAAGATGATTTGGGGACTGGAAGCTAAAACATTTGAAGAATGGTTGGTTGCAGGAACTGGGCATGTCTAGTTTGATGAAAAGAAGGACTAGGGGAGACATGATAGCAGTGTTCCGATATCTCAGGGGTTGCCACAAAGAAGAGGGAGTCAAGCTTTTCTCCAAAGCACCTGAGGGCAGGACAAGAAGCAATGGGTGGAAACTAATCAAGGAGAGAAGCAATTTAGAACTAAGGAGAAATTTCCTGACAGTTAGAACAATTAACCAGTGGAACAACTTGCCTCCAGAAGTTGTGAATGCTCCAACACTGGAAGTTTTTAAGAAGATGTTGGATAACCATTTGTCTGAAGTTGTTTAGGATTTCCTGCCTAAGCAGGAGGTTGGACTAGAAGAGCTCCAAGGTCCCTTCCAACTCTGTTATTCTATTCTATCATCAGGGCTAGCAGTTATCTAGTTTGAGTAATGAAACGTCTGCAAGAAAACCACTAAGCTCAGAAAGCACCAAGGACCTCTCAAAATCAGAACACACCGAGCTAAACCGCTCCCCCCTCCTAAAAAAAACCTTCTACCGTTTTTGCTTTATTAAAAGGACAGTGGAGAAAGTTGCAATTTCCCACATTCTCGCAGGAGGACAAGAGGAGGGGACTCTTACCGTGCACAGACTGCAATCTGTTCTGCGGGGGGTTCGGTGGCGCTTCACTTTCGCTGAGCCTTCTCAGGTCTTGCTCCCGTTGTAGCTCCCGGATTATCCCATCCAGGATGCTCCCTTCTTGATCGTTGGTCTGTTGTCCGATCACTTGCTCCACCACTTCACCATCACCTTTGGGAGACCAAACATAGCATTAAGCGGAGAGGAACCAGCGGCGGCTGGTCCTCGACGTACAACAGTTCATTTAGTGACCCTTTGAACAGCACTGAAAAAAAAAAGTGACTTAGGACCATTTTTCACACTTATGACCGTTGCAGCATCCCCATGGTCACGTGATCAAAATTCAGATGCTTGGTTTATTTATGACCGTTGCTGTATCCTGGGGGGGTCACACGTTCCCCTTTTGCAACCTCCTGACAAGCAAAGTCAATGGGGAAGCCAGATTCACTTAACAACCGTGTTACTAATTTAACAACCGCAGTGATTCACTTAACAACTTGGCAAGAAAGGTGTTCTGACAGAGGCTCCCTTAAAAAGCAGGAAGCAGAGTCTTGGTCCCGGCAAAACCTGTTTTATTTACACGACTGTGAATTGCTTTCATTCACAGTCAGCAAAGCTTGTCCAAACAGTTTTTCAAAGGAATATTTATCAACACAGACCTTATCTCGCTTGGCAAGCTGCCACGTAACTAGTTTCCAAGTGCAATACAAGGCAAAACGTGGTACAGAGTCTCTGAGACTCACAGAACAAATTGTTTCCTGCAAAAGCCCCCTCCCCATTCACTCCTCTTTTGTTTCCTATGGGAAGGGCCAATAACCTCTAAGGTGTGACTTGGGAGTAATCCCAAATTGACCCTTGCTTTCTGAGTTGTTCTTGTCTTCTGGCAGCTCTGTGCATGCACACACTGGGAATGGGCTCCAGCTGTTCCTCTTCCTCACTGGTCTATCTCCCTCTCTGCCTCCGACGCAGAGCCCTCGTCCGAGCTTTTCCCAGCCCCCAGGACTGGCCCATGTTCCTCCCCAACCTCCTCACTGTCCGACTCTGCTGCCAGCGGGCCACAACAAAAGGTTGCAAAATAAGGCAGAACCCACTTAACAAATTTCTTGCTTAGCAAGATAATTCCGTTTGGATGACAATTCCGTTTGGATTTGACAATTCCGTTTGGATGTACACTGTTATAATTTTAAACTGTTTTAATTGGGGTGTTGATTTTAATTTTATTTTATTGTGATTTGTATCGGAAATTGTCATTTTGTAAGCTGCCTTGAGTCCCTCGGGAGAAAGGCGGCATATAAATCGCAATAATAAATAAATAAATAAATAAAATAAATGTTGGGCTCAATTGTGGTTGTAAGTCGAGGGCTACCTGTATTGCATTCCAAATGTACAAAGTGTAGAGGCATTTTTAAAGAAACTACCATTCTGGTATCATGACAACCAATAACCATGTTACAATCTCTGGGCCATTTTCACAGGCCGTCCCACCAACGAGGCCTAGATGATGTGGTAAGTATCCCCACCGCCACCAGATCATTTCAGCTCTGTTAGAAATTCTGTACCATTTGCTACATAGCCCAGTTGAGGGATAAGTTGTTCGTCTTTGCAATTTTCTCGCCCGGGCACCAGTCGCTGGTATCTTGTGGGGTGAGGGTTCCCATCCACATCTACCAAGAAGGGGGGAGGCATGAGATGTGGGGCTTGTTGGGTTTGTTCATCAAGCACATAATTGTTAGCATCACGGATCAGCGGCCGATAATCTGTATGGAAGAACATCTGATCTGGAATCTACATGAGACACAAAGAGTGCAGATATATATATGATAGATAGATAGATAGATAGATAGATAGATAGATAGATAGATAGATAGATAGAATAATAATTATTATTATGAATATAAAAAACAGAGCAATAGTCTTCCCTTTAATGTTGTATGCATGTGAGAGTTGGACTCTAAGAATGGCTGATCAAAGTGTATACAGTTTCACATACTACAAGAATTGAGATCCCCCGCCACCGAGTCATAGAGAGTTTCCTCTGACCTTCGAGGAACTTCCCTGTTCCTCTTGGTCTTCCGAGGTGCCTCTCTTTCTTCCCCGTCCCTGCAGGACGGTTCTGGTCCGAAGACCCAACGGCAGCGGTTCGTCAGTCTGGGTTTTCGCGGAGCTCAACGGAGCCCGCTAATCCCGACTGTCTCGCCGCGATGCCAAACCAGAAGCTACTCTACTGGTTTCTGTGGGTTCTTCTGCTTCTGCTCACCTAGGAAAGTGATGGTGAACCTTTTCGAGTGCCCAAACCGGAACACGCGCACGTGCACATGCGTGCGGGTGCTGTGCCGGAGCGCATGCACACCAGCCAGCTGGTCTTTGGGTTTCTGATGCGCTGGTGTGTGCACACCAGTTTGGGCACTCAGTGACGAAAAGGTTCGCCATCACTGTAATAGCCTATCAATTCTTCAGGAGAAAGAATTATATTGTACTTATTTTTCATAACCCATTTATTTCCAAGACCTATTTAAGGTATGACTGGCAGAAATTATACGTGACCTGCAATCCAACGTATTCTAAACACAACAGTGGAAGGAATCTACGTTAACTACCCTGTTTCCCCGAAAATAAGACCCTGTCTTACATTTTTTTGAACCCCAAAATAAGCGCTTGGCCTTATTTTTGGGGAGGTCTTATTATTTTGGGGCACGTGGAGCAAGACGGGGCTTCTCTTGCCATCTTACCTGATTTCCAACTCTGCGTTTAAATATTTCTGGGGAGGGCTTATTTCAGCGCATGCGCTCAAAAGCCCAATTGGGCTTATTATCAGGGGATGTCTTATTTTTGGGAAAACAGGGTATTACAAGTATCACAAATCAAAAAGGACAAAGCTAATTTATGGGAAGCTTCTATTGGCTTGAACAGAGCCCAAAGGACGTGCTTAAGCTTATCCATACATTTATAATATTTATAAGAGTTTAATCTGAATTATCTAATGCACATGCTAAGCTTATGTCCGGTGCAAATAACAGCTCTAGAAATGTTCAGCCTTACCTTTTCAAAGTATTTATTGCACCCAAATCCAAAGAGTAAGAGGTGTCCGTGTGAATCTGTGCAAGCAAAATGCTGACCATCTGGGGAGAATTTGCAATCAAACACAGCACCATGACCCTGCCCCTCGATCTGTTAAAATAATATAATAAAAAGAGAGAGGAGGGAAGCACGTTTACAACCGTTTGAAAATGTTTCATTTTCCAAACCAAGCCCCTCAATGAGGTCTACCGGACTTGCTCAGTTTCAAAACAAGGTGGGAGTTCCCTTTGTTAGAGGAGTAGCCATGTACAACTGAGAAATAAAGGCATGCCCAAGACCAGCGGTGAAATCCTCTGAAGTCTGCTACCGGTTCTGTAAGTCTGCTACCGAGAGCGCGCTTTGCCTGAGGCGTGCCCGCGCAGTGCTAAGAAAGGAACGTTTTGAAGCCTTCCGAGTCTGCAAAGGTAAGTAGAACAGCAAGGGGGGAAGGAATCCGCTGTGTCACACGATTTAGATTAGCTAGAAAGCAGGAAATCTGACAATTCTAGCTAATATAAATCGCATGTCACAGCTGATCGTCGGAAACACCGGTTGGCTTGAACCGGTACCATTTTTTTACAACCGGTTCGCCCAAACTGGTCCGAACCGGTAGCATTTCACCCCTGCCTAAGACATTTATGTAACTTTCTCCACTGGTGAAAAAGCCACCCACTTGACGGAGACGTCCCATACCAGGTCTTACCATGTTGAAGTAATTGCGAATTTTTGTTCCTTTCTCAAGGTCCCAAATGAAAATGTTCCCATCGTGGCCCGCAGACAGCATGATCCTTTGGTCAAATGGGTGAGCCTCTAAAACGAACACTTCATCATCGTGGCCCTGTAACAAAGGTAAAGATACAGGTAATCTTCGACTGACGACAACAGTTCATTTAGTGACCGTTCAAAGTTACGACGGCACTGGAAAAAAGGGACTTAGGTCCACTTTTCCCAGTTACGACCTTTGCAGCATCCCCGTGATCACGTGATCAAAATTCAGACCCTTGGCCACAGTCTCATATTTATGACGGTGGCAGTGTCCCAATATCACGTGATCGCTTTTTGCAAAGCAAAAGTCCCTGGGGAAGCCAGACTCACCGTGTTACTAATTTATTACAACTGGGGTTTCAAAGTCTGAATGGCCTACAGAACTTTAAAATGTCGATCTCTGTAACAAGCCAACTTGGGTAGTTTTTTTAAAAAAACTTACAGATAAAGTATGGAGAAGCTGCCCGGTAGAAGAATTCCACACTTTCAGAAGGAAGTTGTTCACTGCTGTAATAACAGTGGCATCGTATCGATCCCAGGCTACCATAGTCACCTTCAGCTTGGACACTTTGTCTTCACCAGACAGGACATTGTTCCTGGGAAAATTAAAGCTACAACAGTATAGCAAAGGGCAAAATATCCATAATGATAAATTGATCGATACTGAACTAAAATACCGATAGAAGAGAATATTTATAGCTCAGGGTTGATCCCAGTGGGTTCCTTGGCTTGATGGTTTTCTTGCAGACGCTTCATTACCAAACTAGGTAATATCATCAGTGCTAGAACGAAATGGGGCTTGCTCTTATTTTTATTTAGTAGTGGCTTGCCCCATTAGTGTTGGTGGGAGTATTCTTGCCCGTTCCTTGGTCAGAGTGTTATTTAGTGTTAAATTGTTGGTCTGCATTTGTCTTTCCTGATTGGGGTACTGTTTACTTGATTGTTGGTCTAATGTTTAATCTTGGTTTTAATCTCTGCTTAGCAAAAACAAAAGCTTTTGATTTGATTTGATTTTTTACCCAGTCATTTTAGTGGCCATATCCAGGACTACGTTCTTCCATTCTTGCTGCTGGTATTGCCAAACTCTGGCTGTTCCATCTCGGCTTCCACTGACAAATCTTAGCCTGCATTTCAGAGTAAAAAGAACAATTACTCGATGCTGCTTGGGCCAGGCCCTGCTTTATCTGTGTTCATTTCAGCCTCCTGTCATTTTCTTTTTTTTTTTTTAAAAAAAGTATTTATGCATTTTTTTTTAAACATACATAAGACCAGTTCGTTCTCACAGGGAAGGGCTACTCAGGGTACCATCAGTCAAATTATGTCGACTGGCGACTCCCAGGGGGAGGGCCTTCTCTGTGAGGGCTCCAACCCTTTGGAATGAACTGCCCCCGGAGATACGGAATATCCCTGATCTCCGTGCTTTCCGCCGTGCCCTCAAGACCCTGATGTTCCAACAAGCGGGGCTAAACATACGAAAATGTGAATGATTTTTTAAATGTGATCTAATTCTGGGTTTTATTTAATTGACCAAACTAAGTAATAATTTTAATTAGCAATTTTATGATGTTTGTGTGTCTATATTTTTCTTGACTGTACACCGCCTTGAGTCCTACGGGAGAAAGGCGGTATAGAAATATAATAAATAAATAAATAAATAAATAAATAAATAAATAAATAAATAAATAAATAAATAAGTGCTTAGTAAACAGTGTACTGTCTGGGTCAATTTAGTTATACATAATAATTGTAATAATAATATTTACTTGTATATAGTGATATTCTTCCAATTTCTAATTTCTAGCTATATTATCTAACCATTGGTAAAACCAATCCCAAGTTTAAAAATATTCTGTGTCTTCTTTATCCTTTATATTTCATGTTAATCTATCCATTTCCGCACAATCTAATATTTTTAATTACATTTTCATCTGTAGGAGTTTCCTCATTTTTCCAGTATTGTGCAAATACAATTCTCGCTGCGGTCAAAACACGTAATATTAAATATATGTTAGCCTCCTCTCATTTTCATGCTCAAAGCCCACCCAATAATCTTCCCATCATTCTTCAGCCAGTAACTATATATAAGCTAATATCAAAGAACGTTAGCTTTTAGCTGGGAACTAGCCACAAAGTATTTTTTTTAGGGCTATAATGTATATCAATATATAAATCACCAGAGGATTGCAGCAGCCAACAACCTGTGACATTTCTTAAAGGTGGATGTTTTACATGGGACACTAGAAAAAGTGCAGAGAAGAGCAACAAAGAGGATTGGGGACTGGAGGCTAAAACATATGAAGAACGATTGCAGGAACTGGGTGTGTCTAGTTTAATGAAAAGAAGGACTAGGGGAGACAGGATAGCAATGTTCCAGTATCTCAGGGGCTGCCACAAAGAAGAGGGAGTCAAACTATTCTCCTAAGCACCTGAGGGCAGGACAAGAAGCAATGGGTGGAAACTAATCAAGGAGAGAAGCAACCTAGAACTAAGGAGATATTTGTTTCTACAGCTGTTGTTTAGTTTAAGCATCCACATATTGTGGGTATACTGGCTGGGAATTCCAGAAAACTGCAAGGGGGATTAGAAATATAACAGAAACAGAAACAGAGGGGGGGGGAGAGGGGGGGAGACAGAAGGAGAGAGGGAGGGAGATAGAAAGAGAGAGAGGGAGGGAGGGAGATAGAGAAGGAGAGACTTCATGCAATGAAATGCATTCAACTGCATATTTAATAACTACATACTATAAAATTAAGGATGAAAAGCTACCCATATCTATTACTAACTTACATTTTAATTTAGGGATTATTTAACAGCTCATGCGTTTAATGAACGTTGGGTTGTTTAATATTTATGGAACACGTAAGGTGTTACAAAAGGTAGGGAGAATATGTATACCATCAAACATTTAGAACTGGACCTTCCAGTTGTTTCTGTTTCTTAATCACTCTCTTAAGCTTTTTTTTTTTAATAAAGCACTTGAGAAAAACAGCATTCTAGTAGGAGATCATTTTAAGAAATCCTTACCTGTCTCCATTGTTGCAGAACTGAATGGCAACAACCTTGTCCTTTAGAATAATAAAACAATGGTTGTAATTAACATCTTTTGTTTCTGTCAACTGTTCAATATCTCTTCCCTCTGCTCCATTCCTCCCTCAAGTATTTCTCACAGTTGATGCAACCCAATTAAGGTAAGTATCCTGAACTGCATTAGCCGCAAAAAGCAGGAATGACATGTAGCAGATCTTCCAAGCAAGTTTCTTTATTGTTCCACACCTACAGACAGAATCTTGTCAAACTGAAGCAGACTACTATCTACATCAAGCACATGTTCTGGGAACCATTAGGGAGGAGCTGTCTCTACCCTCTTTCTTTCACACAAACTATCTAAACTGAGTTGCTCTTGAACAGTGATGGTGAACCTTTTCGGCACCGAGAGCCCAAACCAGAATGCACGTGCATGTGCCTGTGCATGAATGTGCATGCATGCCTGTGTGTGTATGTGTCTGAGCACTGGAAACTTGAAGACCAGCTGGCTGGCTTGTGCATGCCTGTTTTTTGGCCAGTTTTCAGGCCTTTTCCAGGCCATTTTTGGTGCCGTTTTCCAGCCCGCTTTCATGCCGTTTTTTCATGCCGTTTTCTGGTGCTCTGGCACCCACGAAGACCAGGTGGCCGGCGCCGGAAACCAGAAGAGCAGCTGGCGATGGTGCGCGTGCCCACAGAGGGGACTCTGCATGCCATCTGTGGCACACGTGCCATAGGTTCGCCATCACGGCTCTAGGACATACTCCCCACCTGAGAATCCAACCCACTACATTCTAGCACAGGTACTCATTGATCGTGATTACTGAGCATTGATTTGTGGTTTGCAGGTGGAACGTTCTAGGACCAACAGTAGAAACTGATGATAGTGCAGCCAGATAGCTTTAAACACACACACACACACACACACACACACACATGTATGTATGTATGTATGTATGTATGTATGTATGTATGGTCAGCCTTGTGACCTTCAGTACCACCAGCCACCTGGTGAATTTATTACTCTCAGAAGCTAGTGGCACATAAACCATCAGTCATCTCTCTAATAACACTTCATGAACCTTCCCCCCAAACTTCCAAATGTGTGGATTTAAACTCCCAGGATCCCCAATGCGTACGCTTTTGGAAATTTTGGGATCTGAATTCCAAGTATTGGAAGAATGTCTAGATCAGAAAAAGTTGCTATGGATTGTCGAATTATAAAACATGGCATCTCCATATTTTCTTAGTTGCTGAATCGTTAGCTTGCTGGGGTACCTTACAATGATTGAAATGGCTCATAACACAAAATCTTTCTTTACTAATCAATGAGCATTCTAGTCCTTTGAAGAAGCTCAACACATGCGTTGGTAAGCAAATGTTATATTTTTTAAAAGAAAAGGTTTTCTATAAGATTTCCAAAAGAACCAGGGAAAGTGCCTCTTCTAACTGGGAAAAAAATGTAGGCTACCCAAGAGTTCTTCTCTAAAATTGTGTGTTTGGGGGCATCTCTCACACACACCAAAATCTTCTCTTCAAACTGAATAACTAAATCCAAGTTTCTCCTTGGATTTAATCCTTACCATGTGAGATTCCAACTCTGCTATTTTTTCCGGAGATTCAGAGCCCAAATAATATATTCGGATCACGTGGTCTGTGCTTCCTGTTGCAATAAACATGCCACCTTAAAAAAACATCAGAAAAGAAAAGAAATGGAAAGTTATCTTTAATATTTCAATCCGGAGCAGTTCACGCAGTCATGCCAGATTTCACAATTAGTTTTTCAAAGGAGCAACACATTTGATGAATTTTAAGCATTCTGTACTCTCCCCTAAAATCTTTCCCTAAAATTACTGTATCATTATTGCAATTTGAGAAAACTGGATTTAAAACATAACCAATCAGCCTAGCATTTAGAATGCTACTACCATGGAAGTAAGGAAAGCCACCTGCATATTTCATTAATTAGTTTTAAAAAGGGAAATAACGAAAGAACGTATTATAGCAATTGTCTCCTTTAGAAGCATTCAAGGATGAAGATCTTTCCAAGGTAGTTTTGCATGTAAAGTAAATTGTTAGCAAAACCAGTTTGTTCCAAGGCTGAATATAAATGTATAAATGTACAAAACTTACATAGTCAAAAAATTTAAGCACAGAGTAGCTAGTGCATGGCTAAGAATCAGAAAATTTATTTTATTTATTTATAAAATTTATTGGCTGCCCAGCTTACCATAGGATAACTCTGGGTGGCTTACAGTTAAATATACAGTTAAAACATAAAAGAGTTAAAATCAGACATTAAAACCTAGGATACATGGGGAGGGCAGGGGGGGGATGAGGGGGAGGTGGGATCTGTTATTACTCAATCAACCACCTCCACTGCATTGTTCTCCCACCGAGGCCCCAAGCCAACTGGCAAAGCCATATCTTTGGGCCCTTATGAAAAGATTGGAAGGTTGAGGCCAACCTCACATTGGAGAGGAGCAAGATATTCCAGAGGGCAGGAGCAACAGCAGAGAAGGCCCACCTCCTGGACCCCACAAGCCGGAATAATTGGGCTGACGGGACCCACAGCATGCCTCCTCTGCCCGCACGAGGAGGAGGAGCCAATCCCAGTGGGCTGAGATGGTACCTCCAGTAACCTGGACCTGAAGGGCTATTTCAGTAACAAACTGCTTTACCTGCATCTATAAATTATTGTCTCTGAACAAAAGTCAACTCATTTCCTAGCACCAAAATGCTTGTTGGATATTTTGGTCAGTGAAGACTGGAAACAATTAGAAAGCTTCCTGTCTATTGCAATGAAAAAAAATGTACAACACTGCTTTTTATTTTTTAAAGACAACTACCGTATTTTTCAGCGTATAAGACGCACCTCTTTTCCCCAAAAAAGAGGATGAAAATCTGGGTACGTCTTATACTCCGAATGTAGCCCTGCCTAGCTTCTCAAACGGAGGTTTCAGAGGCTGAAAAAAGCATCAGAAACGAAGCTTCAGAAAAAAAGCCCCCAAACAGAGCTTCAGAAAAGAAGCCCCCAAACAGAGCTTCAGAGGCTTTTTTTCTGAAGCTGTTTTGGAGGCTTTCAGAGTCAGAAAAAGAAGTTTTTTCTGTTTCAGAAGTTTCAGAGGCAGAAAGCAAAAAAAAAAGCAAGGCACAGAGCTCACAACCAAGGAACCTGTTGCTAAAATTAACCTCTGGGAACAGCTGATTGGGGGTATTCCAAGAGGCTGATCCAACCGCCAACCAACCTTTTCCTTATTTTTCTCCCCAAAAATTAAGATGCGTTTTATACTCTGGTGCATCTTATACTCTGAAAAATATAGTATTTCCGATATAAATTTGCAAATTCCTATGTGATTTCTATTTATACGTACCCGAACTAAAAGATGAACAAGATATTTGAACACCAGGTCTGGATCTCTCTGTAAATTTCACGGGCCGATCCCTGAAGTTATGAGACAACATTTTAATTACTTTATATTAGATGATGCAGAGAGACTAAGCCTGCAATTCTACACTCAATTTCCTGTATCAACAAACCCACTTTGGAGCATCCCTAGATTGTATTGCACTGTTAGCTGGATTTCTTAAGACATCAAGATTTCATTGTTTTTGGGAGTCTCAAGACTCCAAATGATAAAACTTCAGTATAATTGTACATTAGCTAATCAGTTCTGCTGAACAGAGTTACTTTCCAAGAATTTAGCTGGTCTTTTTGTTAACTTCCTTAATTTCTCCTCAGAAACATCTCATTCTGCCTAACATTTAGATGTGGCACGCCTGGGAGAAAAAAAGATTTAAAACTTCCATTTGAATAGGGACCATTAATTCATTGTGGAAACCATGCTTTGCAGGGAAAAAACCCCAAAGCAAATCTTACCCTCAGTAAGATCCTGCTATGAAGAAATATACAAATGGGATCAAGGCAGTCAAGTTAAACCTCTGTGACTCAGTCACAGGACTGAGAAATCTCTCTCAACTGTAAGATCTAATTACTTGGTTCACACGTTGCACTAAACCAGGGTTTCTCAACTTTGGTAACTTTAAGATATGTGGGCTTCAACTCCCAGAACTCCCAGCTAGCACACTGGCTGGGGAATTCTGGGAGTTTTAGTCCACCCAACTGAAAATTGCTAAGGTTGAGAAACACTGCACTAAACCAAAACTCAGACAAACAGATGGCTCAATGTATGTAATGCCAGCCAAATGAATTGGTAGAGAGAGACATCAATTTCAATTCTGCATTTTCCATCCAAAAGTACATAAAAGAGATAAACTGGATCTTTTCATTTGCTCAACAGAGTTATGCTTTCCATTTTCACATTCTTCCAATTTATCCGAGAGAAATTCTGTATCCTTCAGACATCTGGGATTTTAACATCTATATGCCTTAGCCAGCAAATTCAGCAGAAAGGTTTATATGAGTTATAATCAGAAAGGTCCAGAAGAATTCAGATTGTTTATCTGTCTTCATTCTCAATGGATGCTACACTTAATTATAATGCACAGTTGTTTTATCTTTTATTTCTTTTATCACATCATTCTAGGGATTCTAATAAATGCTACTATTGCCCCTGAAATTTATACAGCATTACTGCTCAGTTGCAAAGGCCAGCAGAATAGATCAAATAAAACAACATACTTGAATTTCATTGTGTTTAAATGCCATTGCCAGAAACAAATTGTTCCGTCAGCACCAGTAGAAGTGAGGTATCGAGTTGTTCCTTTTCTTGCAGGGGAAAACTAAAAATCAAAAGAACAAAAGATGTAATAAACAGGCAAAATACTTTCTTCATATACTTCTACAAAAATCTAACAGCGGCCATCTGCCAAACAAAAAGTTACTGTTTTGATATGGACCATGTTTACTTTCTTCTGCCAACCTAGCAGTTCGAAAGCAGGTAAAAAATGCAAGTAGAAAAATAGGGACGACCTTTGGTGGGAAGGTAACAGCGTTCCGTGCGCCTTTGGCGTTTAGTCATGCCGGCCACATGACCACGGAGATGTCTTCGGACAGCGCTGGCCCTTTGGCTTTGAAATGGAGATGAGCACCGCCCACTAGAGTTGGGAATGATTAGCATATATGTGCGAGGGGAACCTTTACTTTTACCTTTATGTTCACTTTATATTAAGAAAACTGACAGATCAGACAAGAATATTCAAAGAGCAAGTGATGTGACAAAGGCAAAAATCGTTTGAAGATTATTAACCCAGATATAGCAAAGAAATGCAGTTTTACTTCTCGCTGTTTAGGAAATCCTTCCTTCTCTCACCTGTATGGAAGTAATGGAAGCCGAGTGGCCCAAGAGCACCGCCACTGGCGCACACGTTCGAAGACACCAGACTCTGACCACCTTGTCACAACTGCCTGCAGCAAGGAGGGTATTCTCATAACTGACAGCCATGTCAGAAATTTCAGCTGAATGTCCTCGGAGGGTTGAAAGCAAGCGCCCGTTATCAGTAGCCCAAATTTTCACCAAGCAGTCATCTGAACCCTAATGTTTCATGCAAAAAAACAAAATAAAAACAAAAACAGAATAAAAGAGTTGGAAGGGGCTTTTGAGGTCTTCTAGTCCAACCCCCTGCTCAAGCAGGAAACCCTATGCCATTTAGACCATTTCAAACCCCGAAGTCTAACACTTTTTCCCTAAGACTCTACAGGTCAAGAGTAACTAACAAATAACATTTATTTGTAGGATCCTGTATTTGAAACATTTTAATGGAAGTTGCTTTCTGAAGCCAATAATGATACAGACACGCCACCCAATTTCAGAAAACATATTTTACAAATTCAAGGTAAAACTCCCCAGTACAAGAAGCTATTAAAAAATAGCATAGCAAAATTATTCAATGGAACATTTCAGTTCTATTCCACTCACAGTGAAAATTCGTCTCCCAGCACGATCAAACGCTATACAATACACAGATGATAAATGGCCCAGAATTCTCTTGTGCATCTTGATGTGTTGATAAAAAGATGTTGAGAACAAATGGCTGAAACGTCCATATCCAGTCAACTGTCTGGCTCCTATTAGGGTCACTGCCAAATGAGAAAAATGCTGTTATCCTCCTGATATAGTTTTGGTCACCATACTATAAAAAAGATGTTGAGACTCTAGAAAAAGTGCAGAGAAGAGCAACCAAGATGATTAGGGGACTGGAGACTAAAACATACGATGAACGGTTGCAGGAACTGGGCATGGGTAGTCTAGTGAAGAGAAGGTGAGACATGATAGCACTATTCCAATATTTGAGGGGCTGCCACAGAGAGGAGGGGGGTCAAGCTATTTTCCAAAGCACCTGAAGGCCAGACAAAGAATAATGGAAACCGACCAAAGAGAGATTCAACCTAGAAATGAGGAGGAACTTTCTGACAGTGAGAACAATCAACCCATGGAACAGAAGTTGCCTTCGGAAGTTGTGGGAGCGCCATCACTTGAGACTTTCAAGAAGGGACTGGACTGCCATTTGTCAGAAATGGTGTAGGGTCTCCTGCTTGAGCAGGGGGTTGGACTAGATGACCTACAAGGTCCCTTCCAACTCTGTTAATCTGTTATAATACTTTTCTTTAATCGACCTCATTTTAATGGTCTATTCCTGTCCATCGGTAAAAGAGAGTATTAGCCTGGGTAAGTATTAGCACTGAGTTAAATATCTGCTCTAGGAACATTTTGGGAAAGAGGTGACATAGGGGAAAAAAATTAACTTTGGCAACTTCCAAAGTGGAACTATCTAAAAATTTTGCCATTGCTTTAACAAATGATGAAAGGCCAATGGCAGGGTTAATGTAGAATACAACAGCCCAATGACATACCAGCAATTTAGGGAATTATCCAGAGAGAAAAACACGGCTAATGCGGAAATTTCTCTGTGTTTGTTTCTCAAACACACAGTAATATTTATTTGCTCAGATGACCGGCAAATTCTTTTGAGCTTGAATTTGGGTATCTAAGTTGAAGTTACAATGAAGCACTGTCCTCATTTAATCATTCTGTTCCAGGTTGCAATCCTAAAATTATGATGGATCCTTTGTCTTAAAATAGGAACCATGTTTTCGTTATTAGGAGAGGAGAGAAAAAGAAATCCTTTTTATTTTAGCTTTGCAACAGTAGGCCACCATTTACAAGCTGATCCATTGAAAGTTTGCCTACTGCGGTTAAGGTACCAGGCTAGAAAGCCAGAGGCCATGAGTTCAAGTCCTGCCTTAGCCATGAAAGCCAGCTGGGTGACTTTGAGCCAGTCATTCTCTAGGAAGCCGTGGTGGCGCAGTGGTTAGAATGCAGCATTTGCAGGCTAACTCTTCCCACTGCCAGTAGTTCGATCCTGACTGGCTCAAGGTTGACTCATCTTTCCAAGCTTGGTAAAATGTGGACCCAGATTGTTGGGGGCAAGAGGCTGACTCTGCAAACCGCTCGGAGAGTGCTATAAAGTACTGTGAAGTAGCATATAAATCTAAGTGATATTGCTAATGTTCAATTCAACCAGTGGTGCTACCTGTTCTGTGGGTGTGGCTTGGTGGACGTGACGTGGCTTGGTAGGCGTGGCTTGGTGGATGTGGCAGGGGAAGGATACTGTAAAAATCCCCCTCTAAATGCCGGTTCGTTACACAACACCAATTACATTCAATAGAAGTTAAAGCTTTAAATATATTTCTTTTTAATTATGATAGGCATTCTATATTCACTGAATATTCAAGGTAGAAGCGACGAGAATGGTGAGGGTGGCTCCTTATATATACAAGGGGTGGAGCTAGGAATGGGAGTGGTAAGTTATGAATACATTAAAGTCCAAAGAATAAGTTAACCTCTGATGTTCCATATATACATTATTTACACATTGGAGAATAAGGCATTTACATCTGACAAATCCCCTCTAAATGCCGGTTCGTTACACAACACCAATTACATTCTGATTCAGGACAATATAATACATATAATTTAGAAGTTAAATATTTGTGTTGTTTAGAAGGTAAGGGTTTTGTTAATATGTCAGCTAATTGTTCAGAAGTATCGCAATGTATTGCTTTAATGAATCCGTCTTGAGACAGTTGTCTCACATGCTTAAACTTTATATCAATATGCCTGGACCTTTGTCCAATTGCATCGGATCTGGATATTTCAATGGCCGCTTTATTGTCTTCATGCATAATAAATGGTAAGGTGGGTTTCTTCCAAACATCAGTGATCAGATCATTGAACCATACAAGGTTATTTGCAGCTTTGGACAAACAAACATATTCCGCTTCTGTAGTAGAAGTGGCTACTAGTTCTTGTTTACCAGTATACCAGTAAACTGGACAATCATTCAATAGAAAAACATAACCAGAAGTACTCTTTCTGCATGATGTATCACCAGCCCAATCTGCATCAGCATAACAAGTAATTTTTGGTTCTCTGTCATTATTGGGTTCCAACATTAAACAAAAATCTAATGTACCCTTCAGATATCTTAGAATTCTTTTGACAGCTTCCCAATGATACAAGGTTGGTTTACTAACATATCTTGACAATAGATTGAGAGGTAATGCAATATCTGGCCTAGTCCAATTAGATATATAAAGGAGTGAACCTATAACTGATCTGTAAAATGTGTTGTCTTTAAACTCAGGGGAAGATTCATCAGTGTTTCTAAGAAAATCAGTTTGCATAGGGGTGTCACAGGTTTTAGCATTATTTAAGTTACATTTGTTTAGGAGTTCGATGATTTTATCTTTCTGTGTAAGTTTGAATCCCCTTTTAGTTTTGTTAATTTGCACACCAAGGTATTTATTCACTTTACCCAGAGATTTCAGTGAGAAGTGTTCATTTAACTTATTTACAAAGATTTCCCTGCTCTCTTTATGCTTTCCAATGTATAAAATATCGTCCACGTAAATTAATACAAATTCAATATGATCATTACTCTTTTTTACAAAGAAACAGTTATCAGCAGTGGTGGCGTTGAAATCCATGGTCTTAAGTACTTTTACCAAGCAATCGTACCATCTTTTGCCGGATTGCTTTAATCCGTACAGACTCTTATTTAATAACCAAATTTCGTTCTTATTAGTGTATTGACTGTGTGGTGCTCTTACATATATTTCCTTATCTAATTTTGCATGTAAGTATGCGGTCTGTATGTCATATTGGAATACGTCCAGATTGAGTGCAGATGCTACTACAAGGGCTGTTTTGACACTCTCTGTTCTCACTGTGGGTGAATATGTATCAGTATAGTCTTCTGGATATTTTTGTGCATAGCCTTGTGCAACTAGTCTAGCCTTGTATAAGGTATTGCCTCCTTCTAAGTTCTTAATTTTATAAATCCACCTGGTACCTATAATTGTTTTATCCTTAGGTGCGATCGCAGGTGTGAATACATTTAATCCTTGTAAACTTTCCATCTCTTTTTCCATAGCTAGTTCCCATTTTTCTCTTTCTTCATGTGGAAGTTTCAATACTTCTTCATATGTATTAGGTGTTATTTGTTCTCCATTCATATGCATTATGTAATCTTTGTATTTATTTGGTATTTGGTTTCTATTGTTTCTAATAGTTCTTTCAGGCTTGCTATGGTTATCATGCAAATATCTAGCTTCCTTTTTTGTTAATGTGTCTGTCTTTATTTTATGCTGACTATTAGTCCAAGTTTTGGTTTTGTTCTTACTTTTGTTAATATTTTGATTTTCTGTTGTTCCTTCCTCGCAAGATATCGTATCTTTACATTTATTAGGAAATATTTCATTAAGGTGCAATTTTGACCAATTGGCCTGTTCATGGAACACAGCTGTTCTGGATACTATAAATTTGTTATTACTATCAATAAATCTGTACCCTTTGGTTCCAGTTTCGTATCCCATGAATCTTAATCTCCTGGATACGTTTTCTCCCTTTCTCCTCAATTGTTTAGGTATGTGTACGTCTGCAGTGACTCCAAATATGTGCATGTGTGATAATTTGGGTTTTCTATTGTACATCACCTCATATGGTGTCTTATTCACAATACTGGACCAGGTTCTATTTTGAGTGTAATTCGAATAATGTAATGCCTCTGACCAAAATTGTTTGCCTAAACCAGCATCCTCTAATGTGCACCTAATCATGGTTTGTAGTGTGGAATTTTTCCTCTCTGCAACTCCATTTTGAAATGCAGAAAAAGGATTGGACGTGAAATGTAACATTCCTCTATCCTTTAACCATTGGGAGAATTCTTTAGACATGAACTCACATCCCCTATCTGTCATAATTTGCTTTATTCTGATATTATGTTGTGTTTCTATACGTTTGTAGAATTCCTTAAATTTCTGAAATGTTTCATCCTTGTGCTTTAATGTGTAAACAAAACCATATCGGCTGTAGTCATCCACTATTGTTAGGAAGTAACGTTTTCTATAGGTAATTGAGGGACTTAATGGACCAACTAAGTCCATATGTACCAAATCAAAAATATTGTTAGTTGATCTGTTAGATTTTTTTGGTCTGGGACTGGTTTTTAGTTTGGTGGACTTACATACTGAGCATTCCAAATAATTTTCACAATTTTTTATTTTGACACCTTCTGCGTGTTCAGTCATTTTTTGTACTACAGGAAAGCTTGCATGTCCTAACTTCCTGTGTAAGATGTGAGCACACTCATCATGAATTGGTTTACCTATTTTTGGTTTCTTTTCCTTGTATGTGTTTTTGTGATCATGAGTTATTCTACACTCATCATTGTCACTGTTACTGACATTTTCATCATCTGCTTCAATACAATCTTCCATATTTGAATCAATGTTATGTAAACATCTTTCTTTAATTATCAGATAGGGTAGACCTCCTTTTATCATTACAGTACCTACATTTGTTTTGTTCTTTTCTATAGTTGCTTTCCCCTTTGAGAAAACTATATTGATATCAGATTCTCTGCTTAATTTTATGGCACTTAGTATGTTGTGAGGTATTTCAGGGATTAATAATACCCCCTCTATTTTCCCTAGACCAGGCAAGGTCACATTTCCTTTGCCTAGTACTTGAACCTTTTCTTGATTAGCTACCTTTATCACAAACTTATCTTCTATAAATGAAGATAATATACTTTTGTTGTTGGTGGTGTGATTTGTTGCACCAGAATCAATAAGCCAATTGTTATTCTCATCCTGCTGTGTTCTGGTGCTGTCTTGTTTATTTAGCCCATTCAGTGACCCAGATTTCCTCTCTTTTGAATTTTCTCTACCCCCTCTACCTTCTTTGTAATTTGGTGGACTTCTATATTTGTGTCTATCTGTGGAAGATTGTCTGTAATTATATTTGCTCCTATATTCTGGTCTATGTCTCTCTCTTGAGACTTTGGGGCAGTCTCTTCTACTATGTTCCCTGGATCCACAATTGTAGCATCTAAAGGCCTCATTATGTTTATCTTGAAAGACTACTTTCCTAAAAGGTTTGTGGTCTGTTTGGTTACTGGATCGATTTTTTCTTGAATTGTCTTCTGCTATCAATTTGTTAGATAGACTTTCTATGGATAAATATCCCAAATTAATAATGGTATCTAAGTGTGACATAAAGCTATCCCATGATGGATCAAATGAATTGATAATAACACTTTTCATTGTTTGATCTGAAATCACTTCCCCCCTCAATTGTAGCTCAGCTCTTATTTTGTTTAGATTTATCAAATGCTCACTTATAGAAAACCCTGGTTTTACTCTAGAGGAAAAGAAATCCTTAGACATTCTTGTGGTTGTAGCTACGCTATCGCTGTGAAATAGATTAAACATGCATTGAATTATTTCTGATACAGTTAGGTTTGGTTTGATGCTATGATACATTGCAGGAGACACGCTAGATATTATTATGAAAAATGCTCTATGATGTAAACAATCTATTTTTAAAGTCCAAGGTCTTCTTGGAGGGCTAGTTATAAAGAATAGTAAATTTTCTTTCATGAAAATAACCTGAAGCTGTTGATACCACTCTTGTAAATTAATGCCATCAATTCTAAGTTTTGGGAAGTCACTGGGTAAGTTACCTACATTATTCTGTCCATTACTTACAACCTGGGGCAGTCCGTGATCTCTCAAGTGCAGGAAATTACAGAACGGCATTGGGATGCTTGCAATGAGTCTGCGCGGTTCTCTGGCCAGTTCAAGTCCTTCTGGGTCGTCTACGTAGTTTCGCACATGCGCGTTGTTCATTTCTTCTTTGGTGGCGTCGTGGAAGGTTCTCTCCCTTTCAGCTCTCTCGATCCGCTCCTCCTCAGATGAGTCGGTCTCTGGCTCGGTTTTTGGGGTTCTGGTGGTGGTGACGGTTCTTTTCTTCTTTTTGTGTGCGTTGGTATTCGATTTTGTCTGTGGTGTAGGGCGAAATCGGCATGGCTCTCTGGGCTCGGGCGTCGTCGCTTTCGAAGTCAGGATGGGAGCGTGCAGGTCTTGAGTCGCCGGTTTGATTTCTTGCTTCTTCGTAGATGTCTTGGTAATTTTCAGTCTTGGCCCAAAAGCAGCAAAAAGCGTTTTCATTGCTGATTTTACTTGAGATTTTGTTAAATCGTCTTCACTTTCTGATTTTGGATCATCTGAAGAGTTTGAGACTTCTTTCTCACTTTCTTCGTCTGATAGTGTTTTTCGCGCCAGAAATTTTGAACTGAGCGTTTTGATTGGCTCTGCTCCATTCTCTTTTGAAGTTCGTTGAAACCAAGATGGCTGCCATTCAAAATTTCGCGCGGGATCACATCTTTTCTTTTTAACAACTATTTTCTCAGTAGTCATCTCACTTACGATTTTTTGATCTTTGGGTTTTTCTTTAATGACGTTTTTCTCTCTCGCTGCTCCGCTGTTCTTCAGCATCTCCTGGAGGTCCGCGATGAGACTTTCATCATTCTTTTGGCTTTTTAGTATCTTTAATATCTCTGACCTGAGTTCGTTATTTTCTATTTCGATTTCTTTCTGGTCATTATTTTCACTCATTAGTTCTTCTTCTTCAGTGGTGTATTCTTCGGATTCTCTCGAAATCGCATTGGTGGATTCGTTGATCATCTCTTGATCAGTTTCTATTTCTTTGCTGTAGGCCCTGGTGTTGGGCCTATCTTTTTTGGACATTTTTAATTACTTATTGAGTCAATTAACCATCCTCTGCTACCAGCTTGTTGCAATATTTTCAGGATCAGACTCAATAAAGATAATAGAAGTTAAAGCTTTAAATATATTTCTTTTTAATTATGATAGGCATTCTATATTCACTGAATATTCAAGGTAGAAGCGACGAGAATGGTGAGGGTGGCTCCTTATATATACAAGGGGTGGAGCTAGGAATGGGAGTGGTAAGTTATGAATACATTAAAGTCCAAAGAATAAGTTAACCTCTGATGTTCCATATATACATTATTTACACATTGGAGAATAAGGCATTTACATCTGACAATCTCCATTCCCTCCCCAATCCAGGGGAAGGTTACTGCAAAATCCCCATTTCCTCCCGATCAGCTGGGACTCAGGAGGCAGAGAATAGATGGGGGCAGGGCCAGTCAGAGGTGGTATTTACCGGTTCTCCGAATTACTCAAAATTTCCGCTACCGATTCTCCAGAACTGGTCAGAACCTGCTGAAACCCACCTCTGAATTCAACCCACCTCACATATATTTTTGTGTGAAAATAGGAGGAAAAGGGTGTGTTGGATACGTTTGCCGCCATTAGTTATTTGTAAAAATAATAAAGGCAGGATAGAAATAAATAAACAAAACATTGAAATATAACATTAGTATATAAGAAAGTTATTCCTTACCCACATTTGGTGGCCTCCCATAGTTTATGGGGACTTCGGGAGGTCTGCCCCGATGCAGGGCTGCAAATGCAGAACCCTTCCAGGCCGTGTGCCTGCATTCTGTGCAAACGGGATTAAGAGCTGGTCAATCAATCAATCAATCAATTAATTACAGTCTTAGTCCAGAGACCAGAACAAATAAAAACGCTCATTAAATATACAATTAAACATTCTAGTATAAAATAGTAAATAACAACTAAAATCTATAATAAAATCCAGTCTGTCAATTATACACGGACTAACTATACTACAATTACAATCCATATACTGTGTAGCCCATTGTAGGTTCGACGCTAAAAGGGAAAAGACTAAGCAGTGCAAAGGGTTTGCCATATTTGTTACGTAACATAACTATGGTGGAGAAGATACGTGTTTGCGACGAATCCCCAGTGCTGCTGTGCAGAATGTGGCCACCTGTGCTGTAGTTATAGACCAGTGATGCCTAACCTTTTTGCCATCCCGTGCCAGGAGGTGGGGGGGAGGTTAGCAAGCGCGTGTGCCCACATCCATAATTCTATGCCCCATGCCCCATGCAGGACCTCCCCTCCTCTCCCTGCTTCTGGCACGTGATGGCCTGTTAGGCCCGTTGTTCTCTCTCACCTGGCTCCAGATCCTCTTTATGCGTCTGGGGAGGGTGAAAACAGCCTTCCCAGGCCCTCTGGAGACAGGAAACAGCCTGTTTCCCTACTTCTGGTGGGCCCAGAAGGCGTGAAAATTAGCTGGCCGGCGCGCACATGCGCGCCAGAGCTCAGCTGGCATGCCCACTGATATGGCTATGCGTGCCACCTGTGGCACGCATGTCATAGGTTCGCCATCACGGTTATAGACTGTTCATCCTTAAGCAGCCACTGAAGATAGGTAGTGTTGGAGCGGCCAGGATACCTAGCAGTTATTGGCAGAATATGTTTTCTCCTAATCTCTGTGTAAAAGGAACATCTAAGGAATATGTGACCCACAGTCTCCACCTCTCCTGAGCCTCAGGGACAGAGTCTTTCAGTCAATGTATCCTTTTATGTTTGCCGTACAGGATGGCTAATGGAAGCGCATGGCACCGTGTGAGCAAAAATGCTTTCCGGCGGTTTGCTGATTCCAACTGACGAAGATAGCTGGCAGGAGCAACAACGCATCTAATGGCAGTGGTGGAGCAGTGGTGAAATCCAAATTTTTTTATTACAGGTTCTGTGGGTGTGGCTTGGTGGGCATGGTGTGGATTGGTGGGCATGACATGGTGGGTGTGGCAGGGGAAGGATACTGCAAAATCTCCATTCCCACCCCACTCCAGGGGAAGGATACTGCAAATCCCCATTCCCTCCCCACTCTGGGGCCAACCAGAGGTGGTATCTGCCAGTTCTCTGAACTACTCAAAATTTCCACTACCAGTTCTCTAGAACCTGTCAGAACCTGCTGGATTTCACCGCTGATCTGGAGCCAGAAACCGCGGAGCTTTCCCCTAAGGCCACTAAGAGTGGGTCAAAATCCTGCAGAGGACTTGGCCTCTGCAGCCCAGTTATTATTTTTTTTCCTGCTCAAAACTATCAACGCCAGTACCTCTTTCCTGCTCCTTCCCATCCCTTTCTTTTCTGTCAAGCTGTTTGCAGGAAATGGTTTTAGTTCCTTTTTCAAAAACCAAGACATGGCAGAAAATCCATGTTCCCAAAAGACCCCTTTCCATACCTTTTTAAGGTTTTGATTTACCCATTTATTTACACTGTTATTAACTTGTCAGAAGATGGATGCAGTTAAAAATAATGCTTCAACTGTTTACAGCCTGCAGTTCGTTCTATTCTATCTGTACGTGACTTTGGCTGCAAGTTGCTTTCCTTGCCTCTATAAGGTGGAATATAAATAAAAGAATCATATCTTACCTTTGGCTGCCCTTAGTAAAGACTGCCGTCCCACTCCTAGTAAAGTTTGCACTCCGAGTACACTTTGTGGGATCTCCTTATCTAACAGAGGTCCAATTCGCTCACAAATTTTGAGGAGGTAATCCGGGGGGATGTGAACATTGGCTGCTACCTGAATATTTGAAAAAAAACAAAAACTATGAGCAGGCATTGCTTACGTCCAATCTTAATTTGAGAGAGGCAAAGAGAAGTCAAGGTAGAAAGCATTACAGGTAGTCCTCGACTTATGACCACAGCCGGGGCCAGAATTGCCATTGCTAAGCAAGGCAGTTAAGAGAGAGATGTCCGATTTTACGAACTTTTTGGGCAACGGTTGTTAAGCGGATCATTGCAGTGAATCTTATAGTTGTTAAAAGAATCAGGTTTTCCCCACTGACTTTGCTTGATGAGAAGCCCCCAAGGGAAGGTTACAGATGGTGACCATGTGACCCCAGGACGTTGCAACCTGTTGTGGCCCATCAGCGGCCTGTGCAGCTAGTAGCTGATTCCGACAGCGAGGAGGCTGGTGTGGTGCTGCGCCAGCAGCCTGTGCAGCTGGCACTCGAGTCAGACAATGAGGAGGCTGGAGAAGATGTGGTGCCAGAGGCGGGGATTCAGCCAGGGCCTTCAGAACCTCCAGAAGCTCCTTTAAGTGAAGAGGACAAAGAGGAGGAGCCTCTTCTCAATGCACGGGTGTGCAGAGCTGCCAAAAGGCAGGAGTGGCTCCTCAGGAGGAGGTCTCCTTGAGAGTAAGGCTTGGGGCTAATTGGCCACTCCCCTAGCCTATTTAAGGAAGGACTGAGGCAATTTGCAGGGAACAACTTCGTTCACTCTTTGTCTTGAACTTAGTTCTCTTATCAGCTTCCTGCAAATTGCTTCTGGGCTTTCTGCCAACCATAGTAAGATTACGATTATTTATTCTTTGGATTCTTGTAGGCTGTTAAGAAAGTTAATTAACAGTCTTTGTTTGAAAAAGACTGATTTAATTTAGTAAACTAAGGTTTGTACAGACTTTGTGTGTGCTGCGTTCTTTGGGGTCCATAGCTGGGGCAGAACACAACCTGTCGCAAATACATGCTGGATGCCAGGTACATGAATTTTGATTGTGTGACTGCCGGCGGGGAAGGAATGCTGAAGTGGTTGTAAGTGCGAGAAGCAGTCGTAAGTCACTTTTTTCACTGCTGTTGTAACTCCAAATGGTCGTTAAATCAATGATTGTAAGACAAGAACTGCCTGTACTTCTCCATGTACTTACACATTTCTTAATATTTGTGAGTGACCCACCCACCCCTTCCTCTTGCACTGGCTCACTTCTATACCTTAATCAGAATAACAAAGCAGCAAGGAACATATTTCTATTATGCTACTTCTTCCCTCTTGTGCAAATACAGGCAGTCCTCGACTTACAACAGTTCATTTAGTGACCATTCAAAGTTACGATGGCACTGGAAAAAAAGTGACTTACGACTTATTTTTCATAGTTATGACCTCTATGGCATCCCCATGGTCACGTGATCAAAATTCAGACTCTTGGCAACTGACTCATATTTATGACGGTTGCAGTGTCCCGGGGGTCATGTGATTGCCCTTTTGCGACCTTCTGACAAGCAAAGTCCATGGGGAAGCCAGATTCACTTAACAACCGGGTGACTAATTTATCAACTGCAGCGATTCACTTAACACCTGAGGCAAGAGAGATAGTAAAATAGGGCAAAATTCACTTAATAAATGTTTCGCTTAGCAACAGACATTTTGGGCTCGATTGTAGTCCTAAGTCAAAGACTATCTTTATAACACTCTTAGCTAGTCAACGCTATGCTCAGTTTGTTGCGCAAATCTGGGAAAGGCACTCAGCTTGGCAGGGCTGGGCAGGACCAAACACACCACTGGTTCTTAACATTGAATTAAGAATTATTCTCTTATCTTGCCCTGTAATGGGGGTTTTCATTCGCCCTCCCAAAATTGACAACCGGTCCCAAATGGCTGCTCCCCATTTACTGGAGTGCTTTAGATTTGTTTGCAGCTGGATCTCTTTGCTACAGGTTCAATTTACCTCGGGTGGCAGACTTAAGAGACAGGCCACACACTTTAATAGTTATTAGACCAGGGGTCGGCAACCTTAAACAGTCAAAGAGCCACAAACGTCCTAACCGGAAGCCCCCTGTTCAATTCTGGAGCCGACCGGAAGTCCGGTTCCCACACCATAGAGTCTCCTCCTAGCGCGGCGTCCTTTTTCCTCTGCCAACCGGAGATCTGATTCTCCCACCATAGAGTCTCCTCCTGCATGGCGTCCTTTTTCCTCTACCTGTCCTAACCGAAAGCCCTATCAATTGTGGAGCCGACTGGCGACAGGGAGCCGCAGCAGAGGGATGAAAGAGCCACATGTGGCTCCAGGGCCACGGGTTGCTGACACTTGGAATCTATGCATGCAGAAACTAACAGTAACATAACCAGAGAAACGTTCTCCTAACATTCTTTCCTGAAGAAAAGGCTAGCCAACGTTCACTTGAGGTTAGATAAAGGATCAGGGCAAATTAAATTTTAAAAAGACGCATTATATGCATTATGTTGTATGAATTGGTCGAATTCGGCCTTCCGCAACTTCCCAAGTATCCATAGAGATGAGATTTCGATCTCATTCAAAGCACAGTTAAGGCAGCCAAGAAAGAAAGAAAGACCAGACGTCCATGCCTTCAGTCATCATGCAGACTTGAGCCGGTCCCTTTCTCTCATATACAGAATAAACGTCTAAAAACGCAATGTGGAAGCTTTCCCTGCATTTTGGAAAAATGGATTTGGATTTGACCAGCCCTGGTCAATAGGGACAACACTGAACCGAATTCGCATTGGTCGTGACAGATGCTCAGATGCCCTCTATAAATAGGACAAAATACTATCACCGAATTGTGACTGTGGGGCTGAAAAATAAACTATTTAACACATAGTGACAAGAGTATCAAAACAGAGCCTATAATGGAGATTTCGCTGATTTCCTGGCTGCAAGAAATGAAGTAAGAATTATATTTGCAACTTAGATGTACGTTTCCTGTTAAAGAGATCAGATTTTATATTCAATGGTTTGTATTTTACCCCCGTGTTTCTTTTTACTGAAATATGAAGTGCCGTAAAATAAAGAAATAAATAAGCTCCTAAACAGACTAGGACAGCCAAATGTTATAAATGCAATTCATTTGTAAATTAAGAACTACTTGATGCTGGCAGACAGGTGTTAATGGAGGGACATTAAGAGAGCTGGAGGTGGCAAAGTATCTTGGCTAAAGGCAGGGGGTTAACAAAATAATAAAGCTCCTTTGTGTTGTAAAAACAGCTGCAACCACAAAGAAGGGGAGGGCATTTTCACACCTCTTAGGAACAGTGTCCATTATTATTCAGCTGGTGACCAGAGTATAGCAGAGTGCCTTCTCAGGCCATCTACATTTTCCACATGCAATGCCCCATCATTGCTTTATGGCAGTTTTATTCCTAATTTAACTGAGCTGGGAAGCAGGCAAGCATGTACAGCAAATTGGATTTGCTCTTTGGTGCTCATCTTGTTCAGGTTCAAAAGTTACTCTGTTAGTCAAGTTTTTTTTCAGATTATAAAAGTGGAAGTGTGGATGGAATTGGAGGTGACGTTTTTAACTCTTCATTGGCAACAGCTAGCATGGCAGTGATGTGGATTTTGGGAATGTTAATACAAACCAGGAAAAGAAACAAAGGAATCGTGAGAAGTCATACTGAAGAAGAACACTAAGTACTTTTACAAGTTTCTTGTGCTTAATGGGGCTCAAGGGCTACAGTCTTAAAAGCTATACTTCATCTAAGATGTATTCAAAATCATTTCAGTCTTAGCTGATTAAAAGAAGAATAAAAAGGATAAGTTCTTAGAATGAGAGGAAAAACCTGCAATTCTTTATGCAGTTTCACAAATCTTACCTTTATCTTCCAACTGCGTTGGCTTATTTCAATTGTTTAATACTGGTATGAAATATTAAAACAAACAGGCTACTATATTAGAAAGGGCAAATAGGAAAAGAGTGCCCATTACAATTAAGCAAATCAAGTTTTAAGTAAGGTTTCATCTTCCTATTCACACAGATTATTTCTTAGGAACTGTATCCATTATTATTCCAACTTTTCCCCCTATTTAAACAGCAGTAATGTCAAAAGAAAGCTGCCATAATAAACATGCTGGAAACTTCCCAAAACTCAGGGGGGAAAAATATGCAAACTAATATTGGCTTTCTAAGAAATTATCAGATAAAACTGGGATTATTCTAAATGACTAAGTAATTTCACTCTGCTCTCCACTGTATTTACACTTTGAGATAAAGGAAATTACTTCATAGACAGGCATGTCTTCTGGCCTATGACAATAAAACTGAAAGTTAAAGAGTACAAATGTAAATATTTTTCTAAGGAAAATCAAGACTGAAAATTGCAAAATCCCTAATCCAGCTCACAAGCACTCCTCAGGAGAGGTGTTCAGTATTTTCGTTTACCATTGATCTGAACGGATAAATTCCGGGTTTTGAACTATTTCCTTACAAGTGTTCGAAACAAACCAAGCCTATGGAATCAATGTAGACAGACAATGAGCCAATAGTATTTAGTATTTTCTCCTATCCTACTCTCAAGTGTTCCCAATTTATATAAAAGCACCTGATACAACCATTCATGCTACAAAAAAAAAAAAAAAAAAGCCAGTACGGTGTAGTGTTTAAAGTATCAGGCTAGAAATTGGAAAACCGTGAGTTCTAGTCTCATTTTAAACACAAAGCCAGCTGGATGACCTTGGACCAGTCCCTATCACTCAGCTTTGGGAAGGAGGCAATGGCAAACCACTTCTGAAAAATCTTGCCAAGAAAACTGCAGGGACTTTGTTGACTAATTCCTGAGTGTCAACAATGACTTGAAGACACACACAAACACAGCAAAAAAGCTACAACTGAATGTGTATTCCCACTGAAGTAACCATAAAACACAAGCATAAACAATTGTGGTATACTGATTATCTTGTATCAAATGTACAGTAGTATTCACCTACTGTGCAGCTGATCTTCAAATCAGAACTGAAAAGGTCATCCCACATACTTTGCATCTAGCAAAATTAATCTGCACCAATGCATTAGACTCTTGTGTTCAGGGAATAGCTGTCTCTGAACCCTATTTCTGTATTATTCTTTTACTGGAATAAAAAGCTATAATGAACAAATTCCAGTCAAAACTTTCTATCAAAGACATTCATTTATTTATTTATTTTGCTATTACTTGTTTTGTATTAATTGGGTAACGACTCCCTTATTTCACAAGGAAACACAGGAGTTTTCTTCATTTAAAATTATATATGTGTTCTCACCTCTGCAAGCAAGATATAATTGTTATGTTTAAAAATTCCTTTACGTTTTGTCATCAGGGCCCTGAACAGACTTAAAATGTGGACTAAATATCACCGTTCCCTCAATAGGTTTTTTTTATAACTCTTTCTTCTGTGAAGAAATGGGATAATATTTTATTTTCCTTACTAATACAGAAAGATAAGAAGAAAAAAAAACGACTCCTTCCTTCGGTTCCTGTATTGAAAGATACAACCAATCAGCTGGCACCTCTCATCACACACAAGGAAATCCTATCTGATAGACGCAGCACTATTGGTCCGGGCTGAAACTTCTTGTACGTGCCCTCAAATAACCCTCCCTGCTTTCTCGATGGTAGATTTTCTTAGGAGGGAAAAAAATAAAAATCACACAGAGAAAATTCCACAAACCAGCCAACAACCGACTCCTAACATCCACACACTTTTCCTTTTTCCAGATTTTCTACTGCAGCTGTGAAACAAACAAACAAACAGGCTTCTCTCCATCCCAAGCCAGCTCCCACCAGTAAAATAAATGCAGAAATTTAAAAGCCAATATTCACTCACCAGATCCTCAAAACTTCTTCGGTGTTCTTTTCCCTGCCAATCCAAGCGCCTCGGGATCAGCTAGTAAAGAGGAGGGGGAAACAGTTGGCTCACCTTGAAATATTGTGCAAAGTGGAAGGTCCCTTCTCTCTCTCTCTCCCCACCCCACCCCAAAATTAAGGTTTTTGCTAATCCATGATATGCACAGAGGTTGCATTTACACATTGGATGCAGCTGCGCTTTCTTGAAACTATGGTTTTAGTCCATAAACTGCCACATATGCCAAGCTAGGAACTGCAGCTCACAAAGAAAGGGTCCTCCTAGGCCATTCCATCAAAACCCAACCACATCTTGGCTTACTTCACAAACGGGAATGTCTCCCCAGGGCCGCCTGTGCTTGATTTTTGAACGGGATAACTCCCCATCCAAAGCAGACATCTAGGAACCATTTCTGGACCCAAAGGTTGAATTTGCACTTGGCTTGTGTCACACGGGTCTCCTAGCCTGGCTAGGTGGCTCAGTGGCTAAGACGCTGAGCTTGTCGATCAGAAAGGTCAGCAGTTCGGCGGTTCAAATCCCTAGTATAGGTCTCCTGCGTGACCCAGGGGGTTGGATTAGATGACCTCCAAGGTCCCTTCCAACTCTGTTTACTATTATTATTATTCATATGGAGCTAGTCCCTTGTCAACCCCTCTTAAGGCTTTGCCCTGTGAGAACCAACACAAAGGCTGTCCCACCAACCAACCCTGGTTAAAAGGGGGGGAGGAAGTGGTTTTTTTCCCACCCTCTATCCCACTGCTGCCTCCCCCATCCACCTCCTAACAATCCCATAGCAGAAATGAGCAGAGTCCATCTAGAGATCTAGAAAAAAATTCCAGAGAGTCTTGAAAAGCCGAAGAGGTCCAATGCTTTGGATGAAGCCCAACAGGCAACCCTGGGGTGGGGGGGAAACCCACGTTCTTCATGGTCTCACGCATGTGTGCATGTTTGTATGCACGCATCTTACATAGATGGAAAGAGAGATGCAGGGAAGATGTGCAAACATTTTATAGAAGGGAGAAAGTGGGAAGAAGGAGGAGGAGGAGGAGGAGAGGGAGAAGAAGAAGGAGGAGGAGGGAAGGAGGAAGAAGAAGAAGAAAGAGGAGGAGGATGAGAAAGAGGAGAAGAAGGAAGAGGAGGAGGGGAGGAGAAGAAGAAGAAGAGGAAGAGGAGGAGGAGGAGGAGGAGGAGGAGAAGAGGAGGAAGAAGAAGAAGAAGAAGAAGAAGAAGAAGAAGAAGAAGAAGAAGAAGAAGAAGAAGAAGAAGAAGAAGAAGAAGAAGAAGAAGAAGAAGAAGAAGAAGAAGAAGAAAGAGAGAAAAAGGAGGTCCTTTCGCGGATTTGGGACCCTTCCCATTAGGAATAAAACACGACCTCAGGGGTCCCGCATCTGGATGAATCCCAAGGGGGATGACTCCCCCATTAGCTTTAAGCCGAGGGTCCCACATCAGGACGACCCCCCCTTCCTTTACAAGGAGGCACTCCTTGGGGAGGGGAGACCCCTCCCCACCCCCACCCCCATTTTTAGCCTCCCTTACCTGGTGCTCCTCCAGCTCGGCCACCAGCACCTGCGGAGAGGAGAAAGAGAGTGAGACAAAGGGGTGAGGAGAGGGGGGGGTGTCCGCGACCCCAGCCCCAATTGGCACCCCATTCTTTTCCTTCCCCCCCATCCCCCACCCCCCGGGACCCCTCACCTGGGCCGATTTCTTGCAAGGTCCCGACTGGAGGAAGCGGGCGATCAGGTAGTAGAGCTCTGCGGGCGAAGAGGCGGTCAGAGAAGGCCGGCCAAGACCCAAAGATCCCCCCAACTGCCCCCCACACACAGACCAACCAGCCAGCCCCCTTTCCTCCCTCCTCACCGGCTTCCAGCTGGGTCGGAGCCCCCGCCATCCTCCGGCCAGCCCGGAGCCGCAGGCCCGTCAGGAGGGGCGGCGGCGGCGGCGGCGGTGGAGGGTCCGAAGCGGGCGGCGCTTCTCTGTCTCTCTGCCTCGGTCTCTTCTCTCGCTCGCTCTCTCTCTCTCACGGCCGCCGCCGGCGAGGGGGGCGAGGAGTCTGGGCGGCCGCTTTCGCCCTCCGCCGCCGCCGCGCCGCCGGCCCCATGGAGCTCCGCTGGCCGCGGGACGGGCCGCCCGGCGACGCGCTCCCACCGGCTGCGGGAAGAGGAGGAGGAAGAAGAAGAAGCAGAAGAAGCGTCGTCGGCGTCGTCGTGAGGGAGAGCCGGCGGGGCTCTCGGGCGGAGGAGCCTCGGGGAGCCTCCGGCCGCGCGGGGGCGACGAGCGGGCCTGGCGGGCGAAGCCTGACGGGCGGGCAGGCCGCTCTCGGAAGAGGCGGGGAAAGAGGCCGCGGCCTGCGCCCCAGCCACGCTCGCGCCGCGGCCCTGCCCAGCCTTGCCCTGCCCTGGCCTGACAGGGAGGGTGGGAGGGAGGGACGCCCAAGGGCGGTGGCGGTCTCCATCCCTCTCACAACAGCCCGGTGAGGTAGGCCGGGGCAGGAGGAAAAAGCTCGAGACCTGCCCCCCATTTGGCCTCTTCCCTCAGGATGATAAATGTATGGGGGGGAATTGGATTTTAATTTTTTTTAAATATTATTATTGTTGTTGTTGTTATTATTATTTATTCTCTTATTAAACATGAAACTCAGTCAGCTGGACATTCAAAAATGTGTCACAAATATCATTGATGGGTGCTAATGGTTGATAAGGGTTGCTGCCAGCGTCCTAGGTATCAACCAAGTAGATCATCATCATCATCATCATCATCATCATCATCATCATCATCATCATTATTATTATTATTATTATTATTATTCTCTTTTATTCATTAAACATGAAACTCAGTCAACTGGACATTTAAAAATGCGTCACAAATGCCATTGACTGGTGCTAATGGTTGATATGGGTTGCTGCCAGCGTCCTAGGTATCAACCAAGTACATTATTATTATTATTATTATTATTATTATTATTATTATTATTATTATTCTCTTTTATTCATTAAACATGAAACTCAGTCAACTGGACATTTAAAAATGCGTCACAAATGCCATTGACTGGTGCTAATGGTTAATACGGGTTGCTGCCAGCGTCCTAGGTATCAACCAAGTACATTATTATTATTATTATTATTATTATTATTATTATTCTCTTTTATTCATTAAACATGAAACTCAGTCAACTGGACATTTAAAAATGCGTCACAAATGCCATTGACTGGTGCTAATGGTTAATAGGTATCAACCAAGTACATTATTATTATTATTATTATTATTTATCATCATCATTATCATTTATTCTTTTTATTCATTAAACATGAAACTCAGTCAGCTGGACATTCAAAAATGCATCACAAACATCATTGACTGGTGCTAATGGTTGATACGGGTTGCTGCCAGTGTCCTAGGTATCAACCAAGTACCTTCTTAAGATGTACGATGTTCCGAGTAGCCCAGTTTTTTGCAGTTCCGCTGGTGTTATTGCAGGAAGATGCAATTTGCTGATGTATGTTATAAAATTCTTGGACATGGTACCAAGTGCCCCGATGACAATGGGTATCACTGTGACATGTTTCATTCATAGCCCTGTAGTTGCGATGGCCAGGTCGCGATATTTCATGATTTTTTCCAGTTCTTTTTCTTCGACTGGCACCTCCTGGTACCGCGATGTCAATAAATTGTACGTTTCGGTTTTCGACAACTGTGATATCTGGCGTGTTGTGTTCCAAGTGACGATCCGTCTGTATTCGAAAGTCCCACAAGATCTTCACCTTCTCATTTTCTATAACTTTTTCCACTTTATGTTCCCATGACTTTTTGGATACAGGAAAGTCGTATTTTTTACATCATGACCAGTGGACTAATTTAGCAACTCGGTCGTGTCTAGCTTTGTAATCAGTTTGTGCGATTTTGCTGCATTCACATATTAAATGTGAATTATTACTATTATTATTATTTTGTCTCTGTTTGCCCCCTTCTGATTTAGTCCCCTCCTAAGGCTGCTCCATTTCCAGGTGGTGTGGGTCCAGAGATTGTGAAGTATTCTATATACTGCACGTGTAAAAACATGATATATGTATATAAACACATACACAACTGTACACACACAAATACATACAGAAAAATATCTACACATACACATAAACGTATCTTACATACAAACACATATGTTCTATATATACACAAATACATATATAGATAGGGCTATAGTGAGGGATGTCTCCCACTAGACTGCAGCAGCATAGAAATGCTAGTATGTAAGTAAACAAGCAAGCAAACGAACAAACATGTATATACATACATATACCCATGTTTCCCCGAAAATAAGAGCCTTTCTTATATTTTTTTTGAACCCTGAAATAAGTGCTTGGCCTTATTGCCATGCGCTCAAAAGCCCGATTAGGCTTATTATCAGGGGATGTCTTATTTTGGAGGAAACAGGGTAGATAGGGATATAGTTATGGATATCTCCCACTGGACTGCAGCAGCATAGAAGTGCTAGTAAATAAATAAATAATAAAATAATAAATAAATAACAGCCTGGAGTTACTCGGAATTGGAGGCATATACGGTAAGTGTACCAATAAAGCAACATATCAATAGCTCAAGGTTGAAATGAGGGATCCTTTGTGTTCTCTGAGCTTGGTTGTTTTCTTGCGGACATTTCATTACCCAACTGGGGAACGTTATCAGTACTAGAGGTGAGAATTTAAGCTCTCTGCTTATATTCAACATAAACAGTTCTGATTGCCCTTTGTATATAAGCAGAGAGCAAACCCTAGTATTGATGATGTTATCTAGTTTGAGTATTGATGATGTTATCTAGTCTTAGTAATGAAACGTCAATAAGAAGACAACCAAGCTCAGAAAACAAGAAGGACCCTGTATATAAATGTAATAAACACACGCACACACAGACACATACATACATACACATACTGTATTTCTCTGTGTGCATATGCACATCTTAATTTATTTACTAGGGGTTCTATGCTACTCCAATCCAGAAAGCTGGGAAGGGGAAGATGATTACAGTTATTATCCTGCCTTTTTACTATTTATATATAACTCAAGGTAGTGAACATGCCAGATATTCCTGCCTTGTTTTCCCCACAATAACAACAAAAGTTCTGTGAGATGGGTTGGACTGAGAAAAAGTATACATGAAGACACATTTCTGTGCCTATATATTCTGTATACATCTCAAAGTTTGTGTACTACCATGCGGACACCCAAAATATATGTATGTACAAGGAACCTGCCTAGTATTTGGATACACACTCTTTAGAAAATCTCTAAGCAGTTGTCTGGTGTAGTGTTGGAAGAAATACCGTTCTGGGTTCAGGAAGCAGTAAAATGTCCCTCCCCACACACACACACACACACCAAAAAAAAAACAAAAAAACAAAACAGAAGCAAACCATTCCATTTTGCTGCCCAAATACTTTGGAGAATTATCACCCCAATAGAGGTCAACGGGAGTTTGTGTTTATTTTTCCTGGGGCTATACCAAATGGATTTTGCTATGATTGAAATTATAATTCATTGGGTCATTGTTTTGTGCTTTTGATAGGCACCCAAGAAGAACCTCCTGTATTCTTGTGGTCCTTTCTGTAAAAAAAGGTGAAGGGTTCACCAATCTCTGTGTTAAGCTTAGTAACTTTTCGGGGAATAACTTTGTTTGTTTCGGCCTTCCTAAACCAAGATAGGAATCACAACCCCATGAGCATTACATTATTGTAAAGCTATATATTGACAGAATCTTGCAAATCTGAAAGTACAGTTTTCTTCTCCCCCCCCCCATTTCCTTTACAGCCCAAGAAACTAGGGAGGGTCCCTTTTAAACCCCTTGCCCTGCCAGTTATCCAACTTTAGGCTACTGTAAGAGATGACAGCTATGCTATCTCTTATCTGATTGTTCCCTTGACTGTATCTCTTTGCTTTGTCTTCCAAGGCCATTCCCACACACCACTACAAAGGGGAATTGAAATTTAGAAACTAGGGAAGGTGCCTTCTGATCCTCTTGCCCCTCCCATTATCTAGCAGCGGGCTATGCTGTCCCTTATCTGACCATTCCCCTGGCAGTGCCTCTTGTCTTAATCTCCCAAGGTCTTTCCCATAGTTCTAGGTTGAGAACCAGATAGGAATCACAACCAGATGAGCTAATTCTGCTTTACTGTAAAGCTACATTGACAGAATCTTGCCATGTGGCGGTTTCCTTAGATCTAGGTTGGTTCTGAAGGAGAGAATCAACCTGGAACTCAGGAGAAATTTCCTGACAGTTAGAACAATGAATCAGTGGAATGGTTCGGCTCCAGAAGTTGTGGGTGCTCCAACACTGGAGGTTTTTAAGAAGAGACTGGACAGTCACTTGTCTGAAATGGTATAGGCCTGTGATGGCGAACCTATGGCATGCGTGCCAGGGGTGGCATGCAGAGCCCTCTCTGTGGGCACGCATGCCGTTGCCCAGTTGCTCTTCTGATTTCCAGCTTGCACATGCATGCCAGCCAGCTGGTCTTTGTGGGCACTGGAGCAGCAGAAAACAGCCCAAAAACGGCCTGAAAAACAGCTTAAAAACAAGCCATTTTGGGGCCATTTTCTGGCTATTTTTCAGGCTGTTTTTAGGCCATTTTTGGGGCTGTTTTCAGGTCGTTTTTTTGGGGCTGTTTCCAAGCCATTTTTGGGCCGTTTTCAGGCCATTTTGGGGGCCATTTTCAGGTCATTTTTGTCCTGAAATACAGCCTGAAAACGGCCCCAAAACGACCAAAAACAGGCATGTGCGTGCTGGCCAGCTGTTCTTCGGGTTTCCGGCTCACGCATGCATGCACACACATGCACACATGTTCCGGTTTGGACAATCGGTGCCAAAAAAGTTCACCAACACTGGTATAGGCTCTTCTCTGGAGCAGGGGGTTGGACTAGAAGACCTTCAAGGTGCCTAATAACTGTTATTCTGTTGTATACCATTACAATTTGCAAGCGAAGAAAAACCTAGCTTGCTTACAGGGTCATCTCTCCCTGCTTGCATCTAGAATGTTCTCCCTCCAGAGATCAGATTGGCTCAATCCTTGTTGGGCTTCCTTAAGGCCCTGAAGTCGTGGCTCTCCGAGCAGACCTGGGTCCCACGTGTGGGACAAAACCCATTGCTCAGCTATGTTGAATGACAGAAGGTAACTTTATAAACTTTTTTCCAGCTGTTCTCTTTTTTATATTTTTCTATATCAATCTGAATAGAGAAAGAAGGGACCTTGGAGGTCATTATTATTGTGTTTTTATTGTTTTTAATGGTGTAAGATGCCCAGAGTCAGGTGTGTGAGACAGACAGTTGTAGAAATCCTTTAAAATAAATAAGAACGTATTTATTTATGGGGAGAAATAGTAAGGGAACATTGGTTATCTGCCATGACATAGTGAGAAAGGAATTATTTTCAAAATATTTTGAGACTTTGCTGTTGGGACTGAACTATCAGAAACGTATTATCATTGTGTATAAACAAATAAACAGCAGTTATTTACTTTCAACTCCTGAAGTATTTGGTGCGGATAACTGATTATTTTATTCTAGAAACAGAGGGTGGGGAGGAAATATTCAGTTTAAATTTATTGACATGTTGTAAGGGGGGTATCCTAAGAAAGTTATTGTTTATAGTAGCACAAAGAGGCTAAAAGTTACAAGTTTAATTGAAATATAGATGATCATTTACCTATTATGCACTTCTGTACAAGACAGCCCTGTGACATTGCCAATTTTTTCCCCCATTTATTTATTAAATTTATGTGCTGCCCATCTCACTATCAAGCAACTCTGGGCAGCACTGGTATACAAAGCGAGTTTATAGCCACTTTTTTGTCAAGAGGGAAAGAAATTTATATTGATGAAGAATGTATAAATGATTACTCTTTTGGGATACCAAAAGGATAGTGGGTTACTATCTGAAAACAAAAGGCACGAATATTTGTAGAGTTCAACGCAGCATCCGTGTTGTTCTGTGAATATTCGTTTGATCAGGGTTTTCCAAAATGTTGGTTTGGGAAGGTTGAAGCTATTGTTCAGTCAGTTCCTTTCAGATTTGTAAAAATACAATTAATAAAACTAAAATAGATCATATACTTGGAAAGGCAGTGTTTCTCGACTTTGGCAGCTGTGCGAACTACAACTCCCAGAATGCCCCAGCCAGCCATGCTGGGAGTTAAAAGTCCACACAGCTTAAAATTGCCAAGGTTGAGAAACACTGCCTTAAGGTATTTTATATTATATTAAATATCAAAGACTCTCTCTTTTAGAGAGATAGGTGCTTCAAAAACGTGAAAAATAATATATATTATTATATTACATTATATATATATATATAAAGCAAGGTCATTATTTTCTCAGCAGATGGCAGCACTAAGCCAGCCTTGGCTGATCTTTGAAAGTTAAACAAGGTCAGCCCCCATTAGTAGTTGGATGGTACATTTTGACTAGCTGGGAAATCCTAGGATTGTAAGCTAGACAGAAATCTGGAAGAAACAGTGACAAATCGTTTTTGTAACACTGCCTTGAAAACTGCATAGGTGCGGCCATTTAGGAACTGAGTCTGATTCTAAGTTATCTTCAAGGTTATTATTTAAATTACAGACTTTAATGTCTATATGTTTTAGGGCAGTTTAAGTGTCAGGATACACATAAGCCATACTGAAGTCATGTGTAGAATATGGCTTTGCTTTTGAGATGATCATCATTTCCGGAAATTATGCCTGCACTTGTGTTAAGAAACAAGCAGTGCAACTTCTCCTCCACCCTCATAAGGAAGTATTTAAGGAGTGGCCAGGAGAAGGAGTGACTCACCTTCTGACACACACATTATTTTATTTTGCTGCCTTCCTAATCTTTCTCATCTGCAACTTATTAGGTAGCTTAACCTTGCCTTCCTCCGAGCTTTGTTAACCTGATAAAAGAGTTAAATTCCCAAAGCAGCATACCATGGGATATTTTCCAAACTACATTAAATAAATCCTGGTTTGGCATCCCATATAACAGTATCCCCCAGCTAATTCTGTCTCTCTGCTGCACGTATCTCTGATGGTACATAGTTTTCTCGAAACAGCTGTTCACTCGCTGACACATATCCTTAAAATGCAGTACAGTATTGTACACTAAAAGCAGCCTTATTTCCTGATTGTATTGTGTTCTTTTATATTTTTTTATTACCTAACTTTTAAATGGATATTTTAAATATAACATTGGGTAGGAATAATTTTATAGAATGCAGATAGCCCTTGATGTACAGCAGTTCATTTAATGACTGTTTGAAGTTACAATGGCACTGAAAAAAAATGACTTATGGTTGAATTTCACCCTTAGGACTGTTATAGCATCTCCAACGTCACGTGACCAAAATTCAGATGCTTGGCGATTGACTCATATTGATGATGATTGCAGTATCCCCGGGTCTTGTGGTCTCCTTTTGTGACCTTCTGACAACCAAAATCAATGGGGAAACTCACTTAACAACTGTGGCAACAAAGGTAATAAAATGGGGCAAAATTCACTTAACAGCTGTTTCACTTAGCAACAGAAATTTTGGACCTCAATTGTGATCATAAGTCGAGGACTATCTGTACTGTATAAATCACTATTTGATATAAAATGTAGGTGTGACAGTGGCTACATTGAGTGAGCTACTGGGCCTTTTATGTGACTAGGCCTCAGTCGTTGCAATTCCTTACCCATTAGGGAGGGCTGATGTAGTTTAACAAATCTGATAGTTATGCTAAGCGCAAAGGACCTTGAATTCAAATCCTGGTGGAGTTTGCACATCTGTGCTTGTTGAATCCCACTAAATAGGAAGCTAGATATGTAGTGCCTCCTGTTGGTCAGGAGCAATTATTAGCATCCCCAAAGTGTGTTGCATACAGGACAGGTAGTCCTTGACTTGCAACAGTTCATTTAGTGACCATTCAAAGTTACAACGGCACTGAAAAAAAGTGACTTATGACCATTTTTCACAGTTAACAACCTTTGTAGGATCGCGTGATCAAAATTCAGATGCTTGGCAACTGGTTCATACTTATGACCATACTTATGACCGTCATACAATCCCCTTTTGCGACCTTTTGACAAGCAAAGTCAGTGGGGAAGCTGGATTCACTTAACAACCAGGTAACTAACTCATCAGCTGCGGTGATTCACTTAACAACTCTGGCAAGAAAAATCATGGAATGGAGCAAAACTCACTTAACAAATGTCTCATTTAACAACAGAAAGTTTGGGCTTAATTGTGGTTGTAAGTTGAGGACTACCTGTATTTAGAGTCAGCAACAAAACTCTGATATGTTTTGTTTTTATTTTGCTACTGTCTCTAATGTGTTGCGTATAAAATAGAGACTGATGACACCTCTCTTGGAGAGGTCTTTGATGGTCTCTGAGTTTGGTTGTTTTCTTGCAGACATTTCATTAACCAGACTAGGTAACATCATCAGTGCTATTAGGGAGTGGGATTTGCTCTCAATATATATTCCAGTGGTTTGTCCTGTTGGTTGTAGAAAGTTAGCACCCACCTACTACCCTCCTAGAAGAATGAAATATTCTAGGAAATATTAAAAAGGCAGAATATTATATTTCCATGAATGAGAAATGGAGAAACATGTTTTTTGAGGCAGGAAGCCCTCTTAATAGCCCCCACCCTCCTCAATAGCCCACAGCAGACGTCAGCACTTTAAGAGATAAAGAGATGTCTAGGTCTATTCATAGCAAATATCCAACAAAGATAGGATTAGCCCTCAGTCACAATAGGAATTGCCCAATGCCCCTTCATTGCATCACCCAGCACATTTACACCAAACTTGACTCAGACAAACATGATCCCACATGGCCCCATGGGAGTCTGACAACAGCCAATAGGATACATGCCCTTGCCACAGGAACAGGAAGCTCAAGTTCAAAGCCAAGAGAGGGTATAAATAACACTCACTTTCCACTCCATGTGTTCAGCTACACCAGGACCATGTGCTTAATGGTTCTGCTCCATTAAACCATCTTTCCAATCAGCCTCCATGTTTCCAGTGTCTTTCTTCCCTTTTGGAACCGAACCCAGATGGATATTTCTTCCAATACAGTGTTAATGGGAGTGATCTTGGCAGTTCTTTGATTGGGCTGTTTACTGTTAAGTTTGGCAGTTCCTTGATTGGGGTATTCTTTACTTCTTGATTGTTGGTCTGATGTTAATCTTGATGTTAATCTATGCTCATCTGGGTGTTTATTAGTACCTTTCTTAGAACCTATCAGCTCCTTTGCTATAGCTGATTTTTAAAACAAAAATATTAACAGCATGCTGCAAACCAGTGAGAGGACCTTGAAGGAAGCAGAAATTAAGGAGTATCTAAGTGAAATGGTAGTGGGAGGTTAGAAAGAAGTTAGTAAACTTTCATGATATCTATGGATACAGTTTTATCAAGCATTTGTTGAGGCTTAACAATCAAAGCCAGAAAATAGTAGAAAATAGGATATTTTGGGGGCTGGTTATTCTCTCAACCCAACTCACCTTACGGGATTGTTATGAGGAAAGTAGGAGGAAGAAGGAGTATTGTGTGTGTTCACTGTCTTGAGTTATTTATAGAAGAGAAGAGAAAAGAGAAGAGAAGAGAAGAGAAGAGAAGAGAAGAGAAGAGAAGAGAATTCTTTATTGGCCAAGTGTGATTGGACACACAAGGAATTTGCCTTGGTGCATATGCTCTCAGTGTACATAAAAAGAAAAGATACATTCGTCAAGAATCATAAGCTACAACACTTAATGATAGTCATAGGGTACAAATAAGCAATCAGGAAACAATATCAATATAAATCGTAAGGATGCAAGCAACAAAGTTACAGTCATACAGGCATAAGTGGAAGGAGATGGGTGGTGGGAACGATGAGAAGATTAATAGTAGTGCAGACTTAGTGAATAGTTTGACAGTGTTAAAGGAATTATTTGTTTAGCAGAGTGATGGCGTTCGGAAAAAAACTGTCCTTGTGTCTAGTTGTTCTGGTGTGCAGTGCTCTATAGTGTCTTTTTGAGAATAGAAGTTGAAACAATTTATGTCCAGGATGTGAGGGGTCTGTAAATATTTTCACAGCCCTCTTTTTGACTCGTGCAGAATACAGGTCCTCCATGGAAGGCAGGTTGGTAGCCATTGTTTTTTCTGCAGTTCTAATTATCCTCTGAAGTCTGTGTCTGTCTTGTTGGGTTGCAGAGCCAAACCAGACAGTTATGGAGGTGCAGATGACAGACTCAATAATTCCTCTCTAGAACTGGATCAGCAGCTCCTTGAGCAGTTTGAGCTTTCTGAATTGGCGCAGAAAGAACATAAAAAAAAAAATTAAAGGTGAGGTAGAAATAAATAAATGTGTCTTAAATTAGATGAATATGTATAATATTTAGAGAAGTAGCATTTATGCTGTCAATTTTGTCTGTTTCTATGTTACATTGTAACATAGAAATCAAAATAAAAACACAAACAATACCTGCCTCTGGTATATTACTCAAAAAACAGACACATCTAGCTTGTAACTTATGGGTCAAAATACAACCACAGGATCGGTGCAATGGTTCACCAGGTAGCTGGTGAGTTTGCTGTTGCTACTTTCCAGGGGCTGAAAAACATTGTAAAAATGGTTAAGTTTTGTTGGCCTGGTAGAAATGGTTTGAACCTCTTACATTACTGTCTCTTTGTTTTTGTTTTCTCCCCACACCTGATGTGGGTTTTTCCCCCCTGCATTATTGGGCCAGAAGTGATTTATTTCACACACTCCTCTATTTTGTGTATAAAACTACCATCCAAAAAAATCTCTTTATAAACTGCTTGTGTGTGTGTGTCTTGAACTGTACCATCGAACATTTTTTGTCGTCGTAAGAGCCTTGCCATTCCTTCTGTTAATTTGTTCTTTGCTGATCCCTGACCCTCTCTCAGCATTTCAAAAGCGCCATCCTGCTTTGCCTTGAAAACACAGTTATCCTCGCTTATTTTGTAAAACGAGGAACTCTAGAAAAATGCTGTGAGCTTCATTGATCTGTCAATCTGCATCAGTCGAATATTTCCTCTAGGTGGCGTGCCATAATCAGAATTGCAATAAATTTGTTAATTCTTTTTTGGTCTTTTTCTGCATGATTTCAAATACCTATTGCGTATTTTACTCTAAGTAAAATAGTTCATTGGTGGAAAAAGAATGCATATACTCTGTCCAAAACCTAACCCAAACAAAAGGTTGGGAGACTGAATCAAGTCTGGAGTAAACTCCAGGTTTTTTTTCCCCTATATGTCTAATTTGTTCCCCAGTTATTCATTATTTAATATTTAATTCATCAGATCAATAGAGATTTCTAGTAGAATATTTGTTTTTCTTGTTAAAAAATTCTATATTGACAAAGCAGTAAAGTTCATGGTAATATAACAAATACCATAAGAAACAGTAAGTTACAAATAATGTCAGTATACTATTCTAATGCTTACATACTGTTAATCAAAAACATATAAAAAGCTGAGAGAGAAAACCTTCACCCATATATAAAAATATCTGTTTTTCAATATAATTATGTTCAGTTCTCCCTCTTTTGATTTTATATATCTTCTTGATGATAATAGATAAACCTGATTGATCAAATGAACTTTTGAGTGATTTGGTATACATAAAAGTTCTCATTCTTCCTTTTCTAGACTGCGTCCTCTTATGCTCTTCAAATCATCAAGAAACCCACCAATCTTCAATAGCAATCTATATATATATAAAAGTGAAAACCACTCACGCATTAATCATGAAATCTCCAGAACTTTAAAGCCTACAAACTTGAAATTTGCCATGTATGTTCCCCTTGGCTTTTAGGTGCTCACTAAGAAAGGATTTTTTGAAATGACCATCAGAGCATTAGTATTTCCTATATTATTATTAACATGCTCTGATGCTAATGAGTTCTACTCCCCACCTGAAAAGAAATCTGTTCCAAATGCAAAACACAAGCAGAGGAGAGGAGTTTCACTTTCAGTTTTACTTTCACAACAGGAAGCAGCTTTAATACAGAACACTTGAGCTAAGCTGCCAAGCTCCTCCTGTCTCCTTCTTGCTAACACAGCAAATACTGTTTGAGTTTCCAAACACCCCTCAACTCTCTCACACACTGACCGGCTGCTAGCCAGATGAATACCGATGGATGCTGCGGGCTGGGACATTCTGCTCCCACTCCCCCTTTGTTCCAACTGCCAGTTGCGTTATATTAACACACACTGATGCTACGGAGTTACACATTCTACATTAAGTTTCAGGCTGTAAGTGTCAATTTATCAAGCCCGAGCACATAGTTTCGTAGTGAAGCACGGGCGTCCAGCTAGTTCATTATAAAACAAAGTAATACAGGAGCCGGAATTCGGTTTCCTGCAAAATGTCATATTACGGAGCAAGACGTTCCGTAGAGAATTTTGGAATTGGATTGAGATCAGGAGTCTGGTAGCGCATTTTCCAACTCAAGGTTGACTCAGCCTTCCATCCTTTCGAG